CAAATCCAGCATGAAATTGTAAATAACTGCCACTCAATCCTGATTTAAAACGTGCTTTTACATATTTCACGAAGAACTAATGGGATAATCAAATTTCACGTGAATCTAGCGCATATTATTGTGATAAGGAGACTGTGCACTGTCATACAAAGCTACGGTAAACATCGGTGACCAATACGAGTACTACCTATAGGTAAAGAAAGAGTGGATTATGTCGAGGTACGTCAGCTCTAGCCCGGTCATAAAGTACGTGTGGGTAGAGTGCTGACTTGTTCGTCCTGTCAGCGTTTGTAGCGCGCGAGGACGATCTAACTCAACCTGACGGTAGGGAGAGGAGAAGAACGACGATACATCGTACGTCGGTCATTGGTGAAGGTGACGTTAACTGTGGGTTGTAATTACTAGCAGAAACGCTTCACGCGCGAGAAGGTACGCACAGATGACAAGAAACTAGCTCATCTCATCCGAGCGTCAAATTATTTATGGCGGGAAAGTGTCAGGCGTTAATGGCCGAGCATTGTTTTGGGTCCGTGTACTTGTCCAGTGTAATTAGCGTAATGTGTTAGTGTCATTACTTATCATAACATACAAATTGTTTCGTGTCTGCAAACATATTGAATTTTCTAAGTGCGACAAGGAAGGTCCTTATTTTAAATGTCATAAGTGACGAGAGATGTTATTGGCGACTCTGTATAGTCGCCACGCCTCCCCATGGTACACAGAAAAGGCCATCCCTACTCGCAAGAGGCAGTAATTTATTACACTAGATGACGTGTAGAGGAGTAAATAACCGTTGGTAAAACATGTATATATGGATATGTCTATAATAAAAAAAGTCACTTCTTCATAGAGGTCGAAGGTCACATCCGGTCAGAGGTCTACACTCGTGGTAATATAATTTTTCCTGTTTTAACTTGACTGCACTTTATGGAGTTTTTATGTTAAAGGTTAAATAATATAATAACCCGCTACATCACAAACATTGATCTAGATAAACACTGGAGAGATACATTTTAGGATGATCATTACAATAAAATAATTCAGGATAATACAACGAAAATTGTTATGCATTATGCTCCAGTGCGGTAGGCCTAGAGTAACAGCGGCGCTCTAAGATCCTCCTTTCGACAGAAGCTCACGTTTACTATATAACTGTTTTAGTTCCATAAGCTCCTCCCCGACATGGTAAAGACAGCGATTGAATAAAAACACAACTGAAATTTACGCCTCTACGCAATTGAGAGTGTGTCTTGTTCAAATGACAAAGATAAATTACGATGTCCTTACAACGCTTTAACCAAATACAAAATCAAAGGTATAGCGACCTACTTGAGTAGATAAAATGACTGCAACATTTATCATAGACGCGAAATCTAAATCCCTGTGACAGATTAAATGAATTAATTTATTTCAAATCCGTCAGTCGCTATCATTAAGATTACAGCATTGGACGCCGTGTACATATCCCTGTGCGGTCTGAGGGTGATTAATATCAAAGGTGCGGAGTCTGGACACAAAACCCGGATTACGGTACACACTAAACTCCAAAACGAACACGGACTAGACTGTGATTAGTGGCACATTGCGTGACATTACAAGCCACATATCAAACGTCCGTGTATTACCGGTGTGAGTCACGTGAGAAAATTTAGAGGGTTAGTAACAAAACATGGCGCAAGTGACAAATACCATGGAGCTAAATGACACAGCCATTGTTACAATTATCAAACCGTCCCCGACACGATTGTCTTGTATTGCAGCCTGTATCCCGGCGACCAACTCGTCCGTCTTGTCCCGTCTCCTTCAGAATTTTTGCATTTACCCATTTTTTTTATAACGTAATGGGAAAAAAATCAACAAAAAGTGTTGAATTGGTACATTTATAACATTTAAAATTCCCGGGATGCCAAAAACAATGACAAAAACATTAATGAATTTTGACACGTGACCTCTCAAACGATCTCACCACGTGCTTGGCAATGGTACGCTTAGTTATATTTCACTAAAAAACAACGACTTTAACATTTTCATTTTGTATCCTTTCCACACAAATTATAAAAAAACGCAATGAATTTACAGTTTTTTCTGCAATGATCTTAAACAGCACGACACAGCCTTTCCTCAAAAACATTATAGTTTTCAATGTGACGCGTCAATTACCTCATGTGTTAATTTCTTTATCTGCAAAACAAATAAGTCTCAAAATCAAAAGAAGAAAAAACCTGCATATCAGGCTCTTTTGATACAACAAGGATAAGCAGTTATCGTGTAGCATCATACGGTTATGACACTTGTATCATCATTCAAGTATCGTACAGGTATCATACAGGTTTCGTACAGGTATTTTACATACAGTTACCATACGGATACCATAGATATATAATGCAGATATCTTACAAGTATCATACACGTATCATACAGGTAGCTAGGCCTTCCATAAGTTTTCATACAAATACCATACATGTACAGGTACCATACAGGTACTTTACATACCGTTACCATTTGGATACCATAGATATATAATGCAGATATGTTGCAAGTACAGATAGACCTATCATTTTTTTTATACAAAATGAAATATCATACATGTACAGGTATTATACAGGTTTTATAGATGCATGTATCATGCATATATTACATCTGAATCATGCGGGCTCCATATATACCAGGCTGGTATCAAACTGGCATCATACACTTATCATACACATCATACAGTAAACATACGAGTATCATTTATACAGGTATCATACAAGTATCATAGTGTATCATATGTAGGTTCCATACATGTATCATATTGATATCATGCATGTACCATACAGCTGTGCTACAGGCACCATACACACGCTTTGTGTGAGGCCTGTGAATATAGGCACACGGGGTCAAACACAACTCGGTGGTAATCATACGCTCAGGGCTAATCACTACGTTATATTGTAAGATGGGGACGATAGCAGGCCAAATCATAAAGTGTTTATTCAGGCCGTATTGTTTATAATCTTTACCGGCAATTTTAGCACCGACTATTTATAGACCACATGACTGTACATTTTTAAAACTTTCGAGATGTAATAATTATAAAGGGCAATAACTCTATTATTTATAGTAGGTGCGTGGGAGAACCGCAGTGAGGATTAATCGGGTCAGATTAAGTGGTGACGGCTAGTTATCGGTGTAATGACGCGGGCTGTTACTATCATCACACACTTACTTGTTTTCTATGAATGCAAATAACATTTCATTACCGACACAAACTTCCCCGAGGACAGATGCTGGCGACTGATACTATTTCCATTCATTATGCAGGCACGTCTTATGACTACAAGTGTAAGTCACGGATATCGCGTCTATGTAAAGTTCATCAGCTTGGTTTTGTTACATATCATTAGGAATTTTCCCAAAACGATTTTAATCCATTTAATGGAGGTTAAATGAAACAGATATTTACATATTCTTGATAAAGCAAGTATACTAAATCATAGTCGTACACACGCTTTAGTAGTACGTCAGTACAGGTACATTACTGGTAACTGTCTTTCGTTTATCACTTGCATGTGTTTGTTTTTAAAAAGTTTGTCCCCTAACACTTCCAGATACTTAAGTATACAGAGGTATGTGATGAATCATTGGCGGTTGTCTTACGTGTAATCCTTGTTAGGGTCCCCTCACTTTGATAAACTGGGACATGGAACGATAAATCTTATATGTATTTATTTGAGACCTACGTCACAAGCCAGTGGAGATAATTGTATTATTGTTTTAATTTCGTATCACCATACAGTGTATATGATAATGCTGTTTAAAACGTCAAAGTACCAATGTCAATTATGTAAAGGATCCCCGTACTACTGCCAAAATACTGTGAATAAAGATGTGGAAACTGCTTATCCGGCATGTTTTAACTCTGATAAATCATTTCTGAAAAGAAAACCATACATTGTAGGGTTTTTGAGAGAAAAATATAAATGAATTTAACTCAATAAAATCGACATCAGTTTCCTGAGTGTAAAATTCAGCGGAGCTAGACCAGAATTCGAACCATGGACGTCAGATTCTTATACCATCGCCCTAATCGGTTGAGTTACCTGGTCAGCGGAAGTGTTCTGGCGAACTGTACTATAGTTATATCCAAACGGAAGTTTAGCGGAGGTTACTGTATATAGGAAAAAACACAGTGCAGTGGGACACGGATCCATTAGAACAACTAAATTTCATCGATGTTTTCAGTTTAAACTAACAGGAATCTCTTCATTGAAAATTCTGCCTTAAGTCATGCTGTGGCGAATCTTATAAGAGCCACGGAGTATCATTGGCAATTCCCTTCCTAGGCTTAAACCTACTCTCATAAGACAAATCATTGGTGGTTTTTGTGTAGACCAGTCCTGCATTATTGTCAAATTTCTTTAGACGGGTCGATCACCATATAGAAGAGTATCGTAATGATGTCTTTATGGAACAATGGATACGTGTCAATCGTAAACCAAGAGGAGACTTGTACCGTAACAGATAGTTATTGACAAGAGTGGAGACCAGTCTGAAAATATTGTCAACAGTAAAACTGATCGCTAACCTTGCCATGATGACCTTGCCGTGTGTCAGGCCCAGTCATGGTTGGCGTTGACAACGTTTATTGATGGCGATGATTTGGACAATAACGCAAGAAGACAGATCGAATAAACCTACATGTTTGTGTTGGTTTTTTTACACGGTATGAATTTGACGCAAACATGTAGTTACCTGTCTTTACTGGCAGGAAGGATAGGCCCGCACGTGTACCAAGTCACCTCGGCAGGGGGCCCATGTGCACGCACGGCACCGTTCTCTCCTCAAATCGACAAAATTAAGAATAACAATTTAGAAGATAAATCACTTCGATCTATCAGTGGGAACATCAATGTACAGCGGAGATTGTGTCATACATTATCCAGTTTCAATGAAGACAGGTTTTAACCCGATGCCTGGCACGACTTTCGTTTTAATTCTGATGTCTTTTTCTTTGACAGGTGCGGATCGCGATGTCTGCGACCCTGACGCAATCCTCGCTTCAGTGGCACGAAGGATGGTACCGGGTACTGGATGGGAGCGAGGTTGTCAAGACGGTTAGCCCTTATGACATGTTAAAGATAAAGAAGATCAAAGGCGAAAGGTAGGTCAATAGTGTATTATCATAATGTCGCTTCAATATGTACAGGTATATCTTCACTCTTCGCCCGAGGACAAATGAGAGTTATCGGCCGTGCATATCTGGTGTACATTACAGACGCATGGGAATATCTAATTATTATACCTATACATCAACTCCTTCACCACCACTTTGTCACGGTGCTTGTCTTAATCTGATGATGCACATGGGTGAATCTAGTAAGTTCCGGAGTGAATATTGTATTTAATTATTTTCAAGCGTCTGAAAGACATTGCGTCTTCCATTACTCACTAGACAGCAGTCTCCTCCGTCAAAAGAAGCGATGGCCATGATTGAATGGCGAGATCCACAAATGTGCACATACATTTACATAATGAGCCCACTACTTACCAACAAACGCACTTTAAAGAGTTGCCGAGGTGTACTTCAATAATCATTTATCATATTTCACAGGGTCAGTATTACATTAATCAGTATAATCACTGTTACGTGCAAGATGAACGATTAAGGAAATAGTGATGTACTGACTGCACAAACTAGTGACTGTCTGGCTGACTATAAACATTAGTAATTATATACATATATGTAACTACATGAGCCGTCCATCAATAAGTTAAATATACCGAGGACAGATATTTATTTGTTCTGTCGAAAGTATGTCCCAATCATCATGGCGAAACTGTGGTCCTGTGTGCCAGATCGAATGTTTTTGTGGCATTTAGCCATAGTTTGGAAACTCGTGTTCTTAAACGGATTTCGCATTTTGTAAACGGATTCCTTTTTCGCCAAGGAAATTGATTGAAAGTGTTTTTTTCTGTGGTCTGATTATTTTCACGAATCTATTTAACAAGAGTATGCATGCTTCAAGTTCCTAAATGCTATTCATGGGTCAGTTTTGGTTTTATTATATTTAAAGTCCAATTAACAGCTAAGTTCATTTAAGGACGTGTCTTCGTGTGTATATTGTAAGCGTGCATGTTTGTATGGGTTCTGGAGACAGACTGCTGGTGTATTTGCCTCCCTGCGAACAGATGCCGACTTTGGAGTGCTTCTTCCAATTAAATACTATGCCGAAATCGCCTAGCACTATATTCCCCCCAGTCACATTATACGGACTATGGGTAAGCCAGTTGTTGCGATAACCCTAAATGCTGAACGTTAAGCAGGAATTAATAACTACCATTTTTAAGGACTTGGTATGTCCCGACCTGGGGACAGACTTGGTATGTCCCGACCTGGGGACAGACTTGGTATGCCCCGAAATGGGGACATACTTGGTATGTCCCGACCTGGGTACAGCCTTGGTATGTCCCGACCTGGGGACAGACTCGGTATGTCCCGACCTGGGGACAGACTTGGTATGTCCCGACCTTGGGACAGACTTGGTACGTCCCGACCTTGGGACAGAACCCATTGCCTACCCCCTCTTCCTCGGTCGTACGTTCAACACCAACGGCAAAAGTGAGGTATTGCCAAGCAAGACGCTAGGAATCAAAAATGTTGTTACGAAGCAGAGAGGAAATATAAGATACCAAATGTTGCAACGAGGTCAACAGATCAATTTAGGTTTCTTTAATGTCCTTTTAATAGAGACAAATAGGAGACAAAGAAGAAAATCCCAAATCTGCAGGGCATCCACATTAGTCGCTTTTTACGACATGCAGTGGGATAAAGCAGGTCTTCCCGAACCTGTAGTCAAGGCAAAAGTATGACTCCAGTTCATTATATCTAGTCAAACTTATTCTGTATAAGTTAACCATATTTTATACAGTCAGTTTCTATGGATGACGTATACACGTATGAGCGTTTGTTACAGGTACATGCCGTCTAGTGACGCAGAGGATGAAGAGGCGAGGAAGGCCGCGCAAACAGGGGTCAAGGTCGGTCAGAGGTGGGCCAACAGTAGCAGCACTCTTCCGGTCAAACCCAGTACAAGGCATAAGGGTGGCGGTGTCATGAATGACAGAATAACCATTCCTAGAAAACACCGTTCCTGGAAGTTGCATAACTTCGAGGGTGTCATGGAGGCCTTGATGGAAGGCAGGAAGGTGCACTATGCCGCAGACATCCGGAAGTGTAGTTTGGTAGGACAGAATAACATGGAACGAACAGCCTTCGGGGACTTCATCAATGTGTTTGAAATCCATAGGACTAACAGTAACAATGGCAAGAACAGTATCAAGTTCTCCAGCTCTCAGAAGGTCAAGAACGGCAATGGTAAGTAACCACGTGTCCACTGTTGTGTCGAAAACAAGATTTTAATCTTATGAAAAATGTCGATTGAATAAGAGTTTGTATTAGTTGTATTAATTCACAATGCAGGAAAAATTATCATGAAACTCAGACAATCCCACTCTTGCAGCTTCTGTGTATGTGATTATTAGTTAGTATACATAAATACTATACTTTTATGTACAACTTATAAGCGACGTTTTTTTTTATTAAACGTATTTTGATGTTGCTGCAGACTTCGTGGAACTGCTGAGAGACGTGACTTTGTACTCGGACGGGACCACGGTCATCGACCTTTACACTGTCGACCCAGATAAAAACCAGATCCTTCAGCAAACTATCGCTGTCTGCTGGCTTTACTCCCCCAAAACCAGGTACGTGACTACGGCTATCAAATAATCGTTCCCTGCTAGCTTTACTCCCCCCTCAAAACCAATTACGTAACTACGGCTATCAAATCATCGCTCTCTGCTGGTTTTACTCCCCAAAAAGCTTAGTACGTAAGTACGGCTATCAAATCATCCCTGTTTGTTGAATCTGCTGTTAGATTGCTCTACTTTCCTATTCTGGATATGTTATTACGACTTTCAAACAATGTTGTCTGGTTATAATTTCCAAAACTTGATACATAATTACGGTTATCAACCTAATGCATTATGATTGTTCTACTTTTCAAAATTAGATACGTAGCTACGGCTTTCAAACTGGCACTGTTTGATTGTGTTACTTACAGTTAAAGCTATCCAACCATGTTGTCTTAAATAAAACTACAGCTTTTAAACCATCGCTATCTGGTTATATATTTTCCAATGTCTGGTTATATATTTTCCAAAACCGGATACGTAGCCACGTATTCTCAAACCAGCGTCGCCTCACGGTGTTGCTTTCCTAGACTGTGGACGTAACAAGTACTAACCTTTTAAAATGCTCTGGAAAGTCAAGTTACCTTGCATATCATGTTATCGGTTCTTAGAAACTGTTGAGCAGGAAAGTTATATTGTTGTGCCGCTGTAAACGCTTGTCAAACACTCTTTTAGGGAGTTGCATGATCACATTCAATACACTGTATTGAATTCGAGGTTATTGGCAATAAAGACATAATTGGAAGTAGAGGATGAGATAATACCTTGAACAGCAATTACAAGTGGCTGTCATTGTAACCAATAACCTAAGTCGTTGTTCAGGAATTGATTTAACTAACTTTAGTTCAGACCAATCACCGTTAGGGTACCTTTGTTGTTACGCATACTTTATCCAATATGGCGCCCGAACCTATACCGAATCGCTAAAAGCTACGTTTGTAGAAACGCGACTGAAATAGCCGGGTGCATATTTCATTGTCCCGGCTTATCATACTGATGAAACTGATTTTGTTATAAAAACACAGTTGCACATGGAAATAAACAAAACAAAAAAACCTGCTGCACCAAGCAAGAATCAAATTATCTTATAGACCATCGGGGAGGGACACAACATATATGCCATATAGCGTTTCCTCATCTAGGTATATAGAACAAAGGGGAGGGAAACAACTACAGTTCCAGCGAAAACTCATCAATCTATTATTTTGGTATTCAGAGTTTCACCTGCACACAACTTCAATGAAAATTCCGATTCATTATTTATATGACTCCGTGCGGATCTTTTTGTATCTACTTGGAATATATCATTAGGTTAAAAAATGGTGTTCCAGATATTCCTTGTGGAATCATGCAATCGGTCTAATTGACTGTAATCTTATTCCCCAGCGTAGTAAACAGACGTGTTAGCAAGTAATTAATCGATAAAGAAATACATATATATATCATTATGTTGCAATTCTTCATTGATTTATATCGTAGTTACTTATATGTACACGAGATCACAGGGACCTGATAATTTGTTACATCTATATTTAGACGTAAACTAAGGTGTTCAGAAAAATTCTGCGCGTTTTAGGGGTTAAGATGAACTCTAAATCCCTGATCAGAGTAATTTTACACGTTTTTGCCTCTAAAATGTGTAAAATTCCGTTGAACATCTTGGTTTAGGTCCATATATAGCTGTAGCAAATTCTCAGGTCCCTGTACACGAGATCATTCACCGCTAGGCTACACACACTTGCTGCTACAGAATACATGAACCCTCTTATAATTCATAGTTGATAAATACACATCAGTCTTTTACTTCGGGAAGGTTTACTTCACGTGTACAATATTTATACCCACTGGATGAATAATGTTTATGAAAACGAGTAAATAAACTTGAGTGACTGACAGACATTGTCTGTGAGAGGGGCGGTTGTATATACGGATGCTGGGTGCTCCGCCTCGGGTCGTCAATACTGCCGGTCTCTGGTTCGACCTCATGTCATATTCCAGTTAACGTGTGTCTACCTGTTATTAAAAATGAGTTCCAACTTCTGTTCGGTATTTTAAAAAATACGTTTTTTACCTTGCTTTAAATAATAACTTAAAACATAGGAAATGTACTATATTGTTGAGTGTCACGTGTGTGTAGTTTTTGTACCTTACTTCTGTCAGCGGTAACCAATCGGCCAATGGCATCTTTTTGAGGGATGTATTAGAAGGGTGCGAGTGTCACGTTTCTGTAGTTTTGTCAGCCGTTAAAACCCCGCCAATGACGTCACAGTGTTGAGAGGTGAAAGAAGAGTGTGAGTGTCGTTTTGGTAGCTTACTTCTGTCTCTGTCAGCGATCACCACAACGCAAATGACGTCACCGTGTGGAAAAATACTGGGAAGGTTTGAGTACTACGTGTGTGTTGCTTTGGAACGTACAGTTTTCAGCGTTCATCACTCCGTTAATGACGTCACTGTGTAACGACGTGCTAGAAGGCTTGGGTTGAGACGTTTGTGTAGTTTGGTACGTACCTTAGTTGTGTCAGCGGTCACCACCCCGCCTATTATGTCACTTTTGTGTGGCCATGCTAGAGAGATGTGAGAGCCACGTGTGTGAAATTTGTGAAGTTTGGTCACGTTACTCTGTCAGTAGTTACAACTAGATCCGCCAATGACGTCACTGTGAATGACTTGCTAGGTCTCAGGAAAAACACGTACATAAACAATCGTGTCAGTCTGTATTATATACTATTCATATAACTCCAACAACCGAAGTGGAGTATAAAATGGTCTGGGGTGGGTGTTGTGGTATCTGTGCTGTAGCATTCAAGTGAGATGGCACTATAGATGATACCGTTGGAAGCACGGTCCCACTACAAACGGAACACAATACATTTCCAGCACACACACAGGCATACACACATAGGAAGATATTAGCCAGGTGCCATATGACTAGTAGTTAGCGCCTGATAAGGCAGCTCTTGCGAATTCCTCAATATTGTATTGATTAATATATATGCTAACTGTATTGACTGTATAGAAATTGTATATCTATGTACACACATAGGAAGATATTAGCCAGGTGCCATATGACTAGTAGTTAGCGCCTTATAAGGCAGCTCTTGCGAATTCCTCAATATTGTATTGATTAATATATATGCTAACTGTATTGACTGTATAGAAATTGAATATCTATGTACTGTAAAGCGCTTTAGAGTGGCTTATGTTAGCTAGATAGGGCGCTATATCAAATGTTGTATATTTATTTATTTACTTATAGTTTAAAGCATCATTTCCTCACCGTCAAATTTTCCTGAAATGAATTTATCAATAAGTTTCCGCTCACAATTTATGTTTTCCAATAGCGATTTTATTTTTAGCGCCTAGGCTATATACTAAGCAAAAATAGATTTCAGTTTAGACTTTCCTCATTAATACTTATTATTTATTGCGTTTGGAATTCAGATTTATTCACCACAATCTTTCTCAATGAACCGCTATCAGGGACACACCAAAGATGTATTAAAACTGCAAGTTTAATGTGAAAACGTCGCTTTAAGGTTCGTGATTAGGATTTGAAATACATTATAAAAATTTGAGTTTTATTATCGACGACATGGAGCAGGTTTATGAAGACATGTATATAACCTAGTGCATGTCATCGGCAAATACCGCGTTTTAGTGCTGAGAGATCTGCTGAAGAATGACCTTAGGTGACCTTTAGGGATACAGATAGCAGCTTTAGCGGGTAGCTTGACTTAAATGGATTACATCCATGTTTTTATAGTTTACCTATTCATTGCTGTCCCTCTTACGTAGCATAAAGTTTTGTCTCGTTGAAAAGAACTTTTGTAAGTAGTTAAAAGTTTTTTGCATGTTTCAGGCAAAAAGCATTAAGTTCAAAATACAACAAGTATAAGTAACACGTGTTGTGGTTTTGTACCTTAACCACGCAATTCAAGCCGAATTATTTTAAAAATTTCGTCACCGGTTCTGGCTCCTTGTATATGATTGAAAATAATATGGTTTAACAAAAAATAAAACCACACACACACACATAAGATAATATAGCTCAAAGCACAAATTCATAAAAGCATTTCCAAACATGAACCTTATATCGATATACAGAATACTTGGTAAACGGGACTTAGGACACTGTACTTGGTAAACGGTACTAGGGACACGCTACTTGGTAAACGGTACTTAAGACACGCTACTTGGTAAACTGGACTTAGGACACTGTACTTTGTAAACGGTACTTAGGACACACCAATTGTTAAACGGTACTTAGAACACGCTATTAGGTTAACGATACTTAGGACTTGCTACTTTGTAAACGGGACTTAGGACACGCTACTTTGTAAACGGTATTTAGGACACTGTACTTGGTAAACGGTACTTAAGACACGATACTTGGTAAACGGTACTAAGGACACGGTACTTTGTAAACGGTACTAGGGACACGCTACTTTGCAAACGGTACTAAGGACACGATAATTAGGACACGCTCCTAAGGACACGGTACTTAGGACATGGTACTGAAGACACAGTACTTAGGACACTGTACTTGAAAACGGTACTTTGGACACGGTACTTTGGACAAGGAACTTGGTACATGGTACTTAGGACACGGTACTTAGGATACGGTACTGAGGACACGGAACTTGGATAACGGTACGTAGGGCACAATACTTAGGAGACGCTACTAAGGACACGGTACTTAGGACACGCTAATGAGGACACGCTACTTTGCAAACGGTACTTAGGACACGCTACTTTGTAAATGGTACTTAGGACACGCTACTTGGTAAACGGTACTTAGGACAAGATTCTTAGGACACGCTACTAAGGACACGGTACTTATGACAAGGTACTTAGGACACGGTACTAAGGACACGGTACGTAGGACACGGTGCATGGTAAACGGTACTTAGGACACGATACTAAGGACACGGTACTAAGGAGACGCTACTTGGTAAACGGTACTTATGACACAGTACATGGTAAACGGTACTTTGGAAACGGTACTTGGTAAAGGTTACTTAGGACACGATACGTGGTTAACGGTATTTAGGACACGATATTTGGTATACGCTGCTAATGACACTGTACTAGGGAACCATACTTGGGACACGCTACTTAGTATTAGTGACCTGGTAAACGGTACTTTGTACACTGTACATCATGCACTGTTCTGAGTTGTATGAAGAGTGTACATACATCACTTTGTAAACACCGATTGATCACAGGCAACCTGTTCACGTCTCATTTAATATCTTCATAAAATATTGAGATAAATCATTGCAAGTTTAAATCAACTGTCAATGGGAATATATGATTTATTACTGCGGTTACATCTCTCATCTCACCGTTATGATTTATAGACATATTAACTCCCACGCTGTTTACTTGTGTAATTGAATATAAGTAGTGGGCTCCTAATACATGTACCGTGTTTAAGGATGTTTACGACTCGCGCCGAATCTGGGGGTGAAAGTGTGTACATATATCTATATAAAATACAGGACGGTCGACTTAAGAGTAAATTGAAGTGTAAATATGGTCTGGCAAACGAAAAGGTATCTGCCATGTGATAGCTGTGCGATTCTTCACCCAGCAAAGCCCCTTAAACTGGTATTATCAGATATTATAGTATACCTTCCCATAAAATATCTACACTGCAATCACGGGATGTCACAGTTTTGGTGCCATTTTGATTAACTTGTGTACATTTACACCACAAAATATCGTAGTACTGGGGACTATTGATAAATCTCTTCAATTCGACACAACCCTTGTGAGAGTGTCCCATAATATTGGTGCCCTTCTCTCAAACCCATTTACATTGACATCACTAGAAGTAGTAAGATATGTCATTGTGCGTGCCTTCCTGATTTCTTTAAAATGACATCATAATATGTCAGTATTGCTGCCTTTATGATAAACCTACTAGATGTGGTAGCATTGGTGCCTTTCTGAGAAACCTTAAGATCTTTACATTAGCATCAGAGGGTGTCGTAGCATTGATGTCTTTCTGGAAAATCTCAATACAGTGTATGTCGGCATTTCAAGTTGTTGATGTCTTCCTGGTAAATCTTTTCATATTGGCATCACAACTTTGTTGGTGTCTTTCTGATTAACTTCATTTCTATCGCATCACACGAAATGCCACATAATTGTTTTGATGTCTTTCTGATAAACCTCATTACCCTGGCATCATTGGAGCTTGCTTATTATCAACGATATCGTCCTCTATTAAGATATCATGAGACATCATAATAACGATGTCTTCATCTCAATGCTCTTTTTCCTCTAGTTGACAAGTTATTACACTGAACTCTGATTCACTATTAAGACATTTTTTCTGTATTTGTGATTTCCCAGGAAAGGTGATGTGAGGTTCACCCTTGACCCGAGGCTCAAGGTCAGAGTGGAGACGTCCTTCAAGTCACTCAAGTACTCCCTACAGAAGGGCCGAAATATCCGCATGGTGGTCGATCTGGCCAACTGTGCCGGCTCGGACGAGCGACAGACAGTTATAGGTGGAGAACTTAAAGGTAAAAGTTCATGAATGTTTTAACTGGTTTCTCTTAAATGCGTTTTATATAGGAATCACAATTTAACTGACGAAATGAAATTTTAAAATTAAAAATGAATAAAAAAGAAAGAATCGGTTGTAAAACGTAATACCATGAATGTTGTGTTTGAAAGCAAAACAAATTTTAGGTACAAATTATTTTAATGTATAAAGTTTAATGCTCCTATGATTATGTATTGCCAGGCTACGACATATTCGGACACCAGAAAGAGATAGGCGTGGCCCTGGAAAGGACCATGACAAACACTCAGTCGGAGAACGTGATATCGCACCGCCATTTTGACGTGCGAATCACCCCAAACAGTCGCGCATCGTTGACTGTCACCGACCGCGGCATCACCAAGAACATCTTCAACCAATATGGCGGCAAGGAAACTACACACAGATGTACCGTTAGTAGGTCCAAAGAAAACTTTTCTCTCATTTTGTTTCGTGCGTGAATTCACTTTTCTCTCATTTTGTTTCGTGCGTGAATTCACTTTTCTCTCATTTTGTTTCGTGTGTGAATTCAGTTCCAGTGTCGTTTTGGACAAGCAAGTAACTGTACGTTTATCGCCACTAGATTGGGCCCACTTCTGAACACAACGCCATCAAGGGGATGGATTTTATATGCATTGGGACATACAGGTATTCATCTTAATTGTGTCGTTTAATGTCACGTTTGGCGAGAATCTCGCCTGTTTCTATTCAGACCAGCGATATTTTGGCTGAACCAGGATTCTATTCACCAAGGTTGTTGTTATTTTGTGCCGTTTTTTTTACCTTTTGAAATAATGTCTCTTTTCGTGTTTTTGGGCTGTATATATATTTCCATGTACATATTTATTTATTTAAATCGATTTATGCTCTTTTTATTATGTACAAATAAACATTTTAAAAAACTTCATTCGTGAGAATTTCTTTGACATTCAAAAATTCAGTTTGACATCATTGTTATTTTTGAATATGTTAATGAAGGAAAAACACGTTAATTTAAACCAGAGCATGCACAACCATGACTTATCAAAGTTAACAGTTAATGGGGTCCTCGATGTCTGACCCTAACAAGATTAATAGTACTGAACTATTGTGTATTACAAATGCTGTTAACGATATATATTCCAGTGGTGAATTACAGATATCTAAGTACGTGCTTTTAACATAACTGATGAATCATTTGCCGTATTTAGAACATGCTTTTAAGTTATGCACCTGTGAGTGTGGTACGGGGATGTCTCACGACTCTCATTCAAGGTCGCTCCCCCAGGGGTCTGTGGTAAGATTACCACCCACGTCGTCCGGGGCACGGGCAACCTGTGCGACGTCCACAAGTGACATGGAATACATGAACTTCTAAAATGTGTTTTGGTAATTAGAAAACATTGCCGCTGATGCAGAATTCTTAAACTTTTGATTTAGATGTGAATAAAAGAGGGGTTAAATCTGCGTCAATTATTTAAATCAATTAGTAAATTCTGGAGAGTGTGTATGTATTATTCGTGAGGGGGTAGTTAGATAAACTGGGCCGAGAAAATCATATGAACTTTCGACGCTCTCATAGAAAACATCCAAAACGGTTCCTTTTAAACAGTTGTCCAATGCGACAGGAGTGAAATCACAGTTAACCATCAATCACGTACGACATGATACAAACGTCGTGTTTTGGAGATACAGACGAACGTACGAACGGACGGACAGACAATTGTAGTGTAGCAGTATTTTCTGACGATGTAGGGAATCGGAATGTGGCTGTATTTGTAGACAATATAGGGAAGTGGACGTTTGTAGTATTTTCGGACATTATAAGGAAACTGGAGTGTGGAGGTTTGTGCAATCACTACAGGAATGTGTAAATGCGGGGTTGTATGAGCCTCTTATCGTTTTACAAGCCGGTTATGTCACCTTGAATGGGACGCTCTCTCATATCTATGCACATACACATACCTGAGGCGTTTAATTAGCATGGCCAGCTTCTCCAGTGAGATTACAGGTGCGATACCTGCATCGGTGTCTGCCTCCCGCAAAGATGCAGCGACACGCTGATTGGTCAATTCGAGCTCGTCTCGCCAGACGGAGGAATCCGACGAGCAATCTGAAGTTAAGCCGTGTAAATCTGCACCGAGATCGTACGCCATTTAGGTCGTCTGCTCTAACTCTGTGTTTATCACCTTATGTTTTACTACTTCTTAGTTTTATAGGGTGAACATATACAATGTGTACACAAATATGACCCGAGAGATTTAACAAACAACACCAGCTTATAGTTTGTCTAACAATATATACAGTTTACAGTCAATACTGCTTATTATATAATTTTCGCGAGATTTTCATTGTTGTTTCTCAAACATGTGTGAGAGGAAGTTAACTCCGGGAAAGACAGTGTCATTCTTATATATATATGTTATCCTTCTATGAATGTGTTAGTAGATTTTGATTTCCTATCAGTCCTCGCGAATTTACAAAAGAAACAATAATCAAAATATACATTTCAAATATATACAGCAAACGTCTGAAATCGTCTTCGTGGTGCCGACTGTTTTTCAGCGTTTTAGGGTATATATTTATGCAAGTGCAACTCGTTGTTCGTAGAGTTGTCGATGGTTGATTTAGAAATTGCAAAGAGTTCACTATCACTGAGCTACTGGTCAATGCATTACATAAACATATTGCATTTTTTTCTCAGAATTGTCGTTCCTAGGTGAGTAAAGGTGTAAGTGACTGTAAGGAAAAACAAATCTAGGTTGAGATTGCCGCACATTACAGTAGACAAGTAGACTACATCAAGTCGTCGCTTTATTACAACTACCATTAACCTACCATTGTACAGCCTTGAACTCCTAACAACAAACACCTTACCACTTATAACTAACCATGAATGAACTTTGGAAGGTCAGAACAACGATGAACTTACCAAAAAAGGATTTTGATGCCCGAGAACAACCATTACCTAATCTCAGGTTTTGGTAGTTAGGAACAACCATGAAAGCAGTACAATAAACCTTTGGTAGTTGAGAAAAAGACACGATTTTAACATAGCAGCACTTTGAAAGTTGAGAAACGTGATTTTAACATAACAGGACTTTGGCAGTTGAGAAACAACATGATTTTAACATAACAGGACTTTGGTAGTTGAGAAAAAATATGATTTTAACATAACAGGACTTTGGTAGTTGAGAAAAAATATGATTTTAACATAACAGGACTTTGGTAGTTGAAAGCAACCATAACAAATTGCACCATGATAGGTGAGCATTTCGTAGCTGAGATCAACCATGAACATACCACACCAATATTTTGGTAGTTAAAAACTATTAACTTTCCAAAAAACGACTTCGATAGTAAATCATCATGATCTTCCCACAATAGGTCTTCAGTAGTATAAAAAAAATACCCACGAACTTTGATAGTTGAGAACTACCATCACATTACCACAACAAGACATTTGTAATTTAGAGCAACTATGAACCTATAACAATAGCGCCTTGATGGTTAAAAGAATCCACCACTCGCCTCAGTAGGATTGTAATAACTGGCAACCATACATTTATAACAATAATAATTTGGTATTTGAGAAAAACTATCAAGTTTCAATAATCGGACTTTGATAGTAGAGATCAACCAGGAGCTGTCTATAATAGGGCTTTGGTAGTTGAAGACAATCATCAATTTAACAAAAAAAGGACTTTGGTAGCTAAGAACAACCACCAGCGTATCGCAATGGCACTATGGTAGCTGTATAAAGCCATCAATGTATATCACAACATGACATTGGTAAGTGAAATCAAACATGGACTTATCACAATAGGACTTCGTTCGCTAGAAACAGCAATGAACTTATCGCAACTATCAAATGATGACCTCTGTAGTTGAGAATAAACTCAAATCTACTACAATTGAACTTTTAAAAGCTGTTTTCACAAATCGTTAAAATCTTACTTGAATTTCTCCAATAGATGATTAAGTATTTTCACAAGCTGCAAATGGTTGGAAAAGTTTATCATCACGAGGCGTAATGTCATAATGGCTCTATTTACGTGAGGCGTGACGTCATACTACCTAATTATGTGAGGGGGCGACGTCATAAGGCCCATATTACGTTTCGGAATATCTTTAAATCTTAATCTACCATCCTCTATCATTATTTCGCCATCAGTTACCCCCTCCACGTGTCACTGGTTACATCACGAATGCTCGTAGCAACACCAGAAGTTTTGGAAATACGATGTCAATTGTAGAGATATAATGGGTAAACAACAAAATGATAGATTCGAAAATCTTTTGGATTTTTCGTGTCAATGACGACTGTTGGTGGGAGAAGAAAATGTCCGCATGTCTACGATTGTACCTCTGGTTTCGTTCACAACAAAACTTGTCAATATCAGAGGTGGCCAAGAAGAGCGGCATGTCTGCTCTCCCAGTGTTCAACATGAATTCTGATCCCGCGATGTGTGTTCTGTATCTGCGTGTTCCTTAAATATCCCTGGTGTCTCGTGACAGTGATACGCACGTGTCGTCTGATAGATCGCGCGCCTCTTCACCACAGGCCGGACAGATAACTCGTGCGTGACCAATAGTTGTCTGAACAATAACTCCCCTGGTACAAACACAGGCCAAAGTTTGGCGACTTTATTTGATGAGTTCTTCTATCTGTAAATCAACGCTATCCAATGTCGCTTACGCCAGTACAGGATCTCTCAGGGAAAGTGCAGTCATGTCATGATATTTTAAAGATTATGACGGAACGTTGCGTTTAGCCCACAAAAGACAACTTTTTTGTTAGTGGTCGTACACTGCTACTTTTTGTGCATAACGTTCAATCTCCACAAGTCGGAGATATCACGATAGTGTCATGTCATATCATATCAACATCATCTTTGTAATTCACGTATGTTTTTTTCGAATTTCGTAAATGGTTCCATGAGGTTTTTACCTATTGTATTAAAACACATTACTTTGATATTTGGTTAAAAACTTGATACTAAAGATATTAAATTAATTTTGTTCTGTAGGATAAATACATATATGTATATAGGGATTGAACCTGTACTGAAACAGAACGTAAAGATTGAATCAAACAGCTAACGTTGTAGATCACTAGCATATAAATATGAAGGCGTGTGAACACAATGAAGCTACTCAATACACAGTCTCGGTCAACCAGACGCTTAATCACTTGTAATTCGGCGTAGCTTGCGCAGACAACAAGAGTCTGATTGAACGAGACCACTCGATACATCTAACCTAAGATAACACAAACATGGATATTAGAACAAACAATTTCGTCAGTAGTCTAGAGACGAAAACAAAAAACTCCGAAAGGAATGCATCTTCACTCAGGGGAAACATTGTGAAATTTACCAGGTCAAGTCTGAAAGCTAGCGTTCATGACACGAAGATTTAAAAACAGTAAAGAAAAACCACCCCTTTTTAAATGATCACAGTAGGACTTTGCAAGTTTAGAACAACCATTTACTGAAAACAATCCAGCTTTGATAGTGGAGAGCAACCATCAACTCGTCAAAACAGCACTATAGTAGTTGAGAAGAATCACAATATCACCACAATAACAATTTTAAAATTGATAACAGCACAGCCGTCAACTTACCACAATATGGCTTAAATAGTTGAGAACCACCACCTTGCCACAATAAGACTTCGGTAGTTGAGCACAACCATTAACTTACCACAAGAGGAATTTGGTATTTGAGAACAACAATCAACTCAACACAGTACGAGTTTGATAGTTGATAACGACTATTAACTTACCACAATAGTAATTTGGTAGTTCAGAAAACCACTCGCTTTCCTAATAAGATTTTGGGAGTTTATGACAACTTATGACAATACGAATTTGGTAGTTGAGGACATCATACCTACTCCAAATAAGATTTGGTATGTTAGAATAACCATCAACTTACCACAAAAGGAATTTGGTAGTTGAAAACCACCAGCTTACTACGATAGAACTTTAGTAGTTGAGAATAACTTTTAGACTACCAGAATATGATATTGGTGACAATCACCTACCGAAACATCAAAACGAGTTCCTCGCAACTAGAAGAAATCTCGATTTAATCACACTTTCATATCAGCTAACTAGTATTTCACAAGTCCATGCCGACTGCAAGCTAACACTTTGCAAGACCAAACCTTACAACAGAACTTTGGTAGGTAAGAAAAAAGCTTCACCTTAACACAAAAGGAACTTTGGTAGTTGAGAAGAACTATCAGCTGGCCAGAATACGATTTTTGTAGTTGAGGACCGTCAACTTCCCACACCAGAGCTTAAATAGTTGAGAATAACCATCAATTTGCCGTAGTATTTTTTTTGCAATTGAAAATAACATCAGCTTGCAACAATAGCTCGTCGTTCGATAGAAACTGCAACAATTTTCAAGCTTGCTGCAAATTAAAATAGCCTCGAATTGATCACAATTGCCAACAAGCTAGCATTTCATCAGACCAAGCTGACAAGCTGGAGTGTACACAATTAAGCTCGCAAATTGCATTCAGCAAATTAAGACTAATCTTGCAAACTATATTTGCCAGAGCAAATCTGCTGTTAAGGCCGTAAGTTACATGTAGCGTTGATCTCACAAAACCTACAAGCTAGCAATGTAGCGTTGATCTCACAAAACCTACAAGCTAGCATTCACAAGACCAAGCCTGCAAATAACATGTAGCGTTGATCTCACAAAACCTAAAAGCTAGCAATGTAGCGTTGGTCTCACAAAACCTACAAGCTAGCAATGTAGCGTTGGTCTCACAAAACCTACAAGCTAGCATTCACCAGACAAAGCCTGCAAATAACATTTAGCGGTGGTCTCACAAAACCTTCAAGCTAGCATTCCTAGACCAAGACTGTAAGTTATATGTAGCGTTGGTCTCACAAAACCTACAAGCTAGCATTCACAAGACCAAGCTTGCAAGTTACCTGTAGCGTTGGTCTCACAAAACCTACAAGCTAGTATTCACAAGACCAACACTATAAGTTTCATGTAGCGCTGGTCTCATAAAACCTACAAGCTAGCATTCCCCAGACCAAGCCTGCAAGCTACATGTAGCGTTGGTCTCACAAAACCTACAAGCTAGCAATGTAGCGTTGGTCTCACAAAACCTACAAGCTAGCAATGTAGCGTTGATCTCACAAAACCTACAAGCTAGCATTCACAAGACAAACCGACAAGTTACATGTAGGTTTAACGTTGGTCTCACAAAACCTACAAGCTAGTATTCACAAGACCAACACTATAAGTTTCATGTAGCGTTGGTCTCATAAAACCTACAAGCTAGCATTCACCAGACCAAGCCTGCAAGCTACATGTAGCGTTGGTCTCACAAAACCTACAAGCTAGCATTCACAAGACAAACCGGCAAGTTACATGTAGCGTTTGTCTCACAAAACCTACAAGCTAGCATTCACAATACCAAGACTATAAGTTACATGTAGCGTTGGTCTCACAAAACCTAGCTACAAGCTAGCATTCACAAGACCAAGCCTGCAAGTTACATGTAGGGTTAACGTTGGTCTCACAAAACCTACAAGCTAGCATTCACAAGACAAACCGGCAAGTTACATGTAGCGTTGATCTCACAAATCCTACAAACTAGCATTGTAGCGTTGATCTCACAAAACCTACAAGCTAGCATTCACAAGACCAAGCCTGCATGTTACATGTAGCGTTGGTCTCACAAAACCTACAAGCTAGCATTCACAAGACTATGACTATAAGGTACATGTAACGTTGGTCTCACAAAACCTAGCTACAAGCTAGCATTCACAAGACCAAGCCTGCAAGTTACATGTAGGGTTAACGTTGGTCTCACAAAACCTACAAGCTAGCATTCACAAGACAAACCGGCAAGTTACATGTAGCGTTGATCTCACAAATCCTACAAACTAGCATTGTAGCGTTGATCTCACAAAACCTACAAGCTAGCATTCACAAGACCAAGCCTGCATGTTACATGTAGCGTTGGTCTCACAAAACCTACAAGCTAGCATTCACAAGACTATGACTATAAGGTACATGTAACGTTGGTCTCACAAAACCTAGCTACAAGCTAGCATTCACAAGACCAAGCCTGCAAGTTACATGTAGGGTTAACGTTGGTCTCACAAAACCTACAAGCTAGCATTCACAAGACAAACCGGCAAGTTACATGTAGCGTTGATCTCACAAATCCTACAAACTAGCATTGTAGCGTTGATCTCACAAAACCTACAAGCTAGCATTCACAAGACCAAGCCTGCATGTTACATGTAGCGTTGGTCTCACAAAACCTACAAGCTAGCATTCACAAGACTATGACTATAAGGTACATGTAACGTTGGTCTCACAAAACCTAGCTACAAGCTAGCATTCACAAGACCAAGCCTGCAAGTTACATGTAGGGTTAACGTTGGTCTCACAAAACCTACAAGCTAGCATTCACAAGACAAACCGGCAAGTTACATGTAGCGTTGATCTCACAAATCCTACAAACTAGCATTGTAGCGTTGATCTCACAAAACCTACAAGCTAGCATTCACAAGACCAAGCCTGCATGTTACATGTAGCGTTGGTCTCTCAAAACCTACAAAGTAGCATTCACAAGACCAAGACGGCAAGTTACATGTAGCGTTGGTCTCATAAAACCTACAAGCTAGCAATGTAGCGTTGATCTCACAAAACCTACAAGCTAGCATTCGCAAGACAATTCGGCAAGTTACATGTAGGGTTAACGTTGGTCTCACAAAACCTACAAGCTAGTATTCACCAGATCAACACTATAAGTTACATGTAGCGTTGGTCTCACAAAACTTACAAGCAAGCATTCACCAGACCAAGCCTGCAAGTTACATTTAGCGTTGGTCTCACAAAACCTACAAGCTAGCATTCACAAGACAAACCGGCAAGTTACATGTAACGTTGGTCTCACAAAACCTACAAGCTAGCATTCACAATACCAAGACTATAAGTTACATGTAGCGTTGGTCTCACAAAACCTACAAGCTAGCATTCACAAGACAAACCGGCAAGTTACATGTAGCGTTGGTCTCACAAAACCTACAAGCTAGCATTCACAAGACAAACCGGCAAGTTACATGTAGCGTTGGTCTCACAAAACCTACAAGCTAGCATTCACAAGACAAAGCGGCAAGTTACATGTAGCGTTGGTCTCACAAAACCTACAAGCTAGCATTCACAAGACAAACCGGCAAGTTACATGTAGCGTTGGTCTCACAAAACCTACAAGCTAGCATTCACAAGACAAAGCGGCAAGTTACATGTAGCGTTGGTCTCACAAAACCTACAAGCTAGCATTCACAAGACAAACCGGCAAGTTACATGTAGCGTTGGTCTCACAAAACCTACAAGCTAGCATTCACAAGACAAAGCGGCAAGTTACATGTAGCGTTGGTCTCACAAAACCTACAAGCTAGCATTCACAAGACAAACCGGCAAGTTACATGTAGCGTTGGTCTCACAAAACCTACAAGCTAGCATTCACAAGACAAAGCGGCAAGTTACATGTAGCGTTGGTCTCACAAAACCTACAAGCTAGCATTCACAAGACAAACCGGCAAGTTACATGTAGCGTTGGTCTCACAAAACCTACAAGCTAGCATTCACAAGACAAAGCCTGCATGTTACATGTAGCGTTGGCATGGTCTCTCAAAACTTACAAACTAGCATTCACAAGATCAAGACGGCAAGTTACGTGCAGCGTTGATCTCGTCTCAGCTAATATTCACTTATATTACCGGACAAATTCTTCAAGCAGCATTTAGTAACGCACAAACATTAGTGCTTCTGAAGCGTCATTATCAGCGATACAAATTGCAATATTAAGTGTGATAAGGGTAGTCACTAAAGTGTCATTATATATAAAGAGAGGTCCACTGAAGGGTCATTTATATGTATCACACAGAATTGTCATAAGTTTAATCCACCAAAGGATCAACTTAACCACCAGCTCTACGTCACTCATCGTCCAAATCCGAAACACCTCAGCATAAAAAATGCAGCTGCAGTATTTTATGCAACTGCACCTTAAGCTTCTGAACAAAGGTCGAAGTCCTAACGAGAAATTACACAATGATCTGCAGCATTGGGACCGATGATGTTCTGATCTCAATTGAGAAGACCACAACACCAATAACTGGTCACCGGACTTTCTCCTATCTTTAATATCTATTCTGCAAGCACAAAAACATCTAATGGTTAAAAAAAATGAAAACCGTAGATTTACTAATTACATTCGAGGAGCGGATCCAGGATCAGTTAGGGGGCCCCGCTTATTTATGCATGAAAACAATACTTCGAATAAAGGGGTATAACTCTAACAGAAATATTCGACTCGCCACTAACGCTACTCAATAGACGCGAGAATATTTTGTTTACGTCCTGTGTTGACAGAGGTATGGTCAGTTGGTAAGGTTTTCTTTAAACATGCAACTTAAAGTAGACCAAATTATGAGAGTTCAGACGGGAACAGCGTAGTGCATATATTGTTGGACGTGTACCGGTACAAATTAACCATGACAAATTATCTGAAAAAGCTCAAAGACCCGAGCACCTTGCGGATCTTCTTCTCGTCTCCGTTTGGTGGGATGGAGGAAGAGAGAGAAGAACTGACGCGACGGTACTTCCCTCACATCAACCATATATGTAACTCGCGAGGAGTCCAGTTCGTAGCTATTGATATGAGGTGGGGCATCACATCCGAGTCTTCGGCAACTGCCCAGGTCATCAATATATGTCTCAAGGAGCTGGACAGGTCCGACATGTTCATCGGCTTCTTCGGGCAGGCAAGTACATATATACTGTTTATAGGCAAGTACGTTATGTTTATAGACAAATAAGTAATGTTTATAGGCAATAATTTGTATAGGCAAGTGCATAAAGTCTCTAGGTAAGTGCAATACTGTCTTTAGTTAAGGTATTTCATACAGGCCCATGTCAGTGTATATGTGATGGGCTCATATACTTTTCCTCAAAAATATGGAAGTTGGTTGGTATAACCATGTCAAGAACAATGTCAATAATGACCTTTGCAGAAATTATTTGTCGAAAATATTCTTGATTTTGTCTGAAAAGTAACTTTTGAATGCAGAATTTTAGTGGCGCAAAATTGCCAAAAATGAGCCTGTATGAAATACCTTAAGTGCATTATGTTTTATAATAGGCAAGTATGTAATGTTTATAAATAGGCAAGTACATAATTAGACCGAGTTTCCTCTGGCCCTGACCCAAGACTAGACATTTTGACAGATAGATGTCTGGTGTGGGACATCTATCTGTCAAAATGTCTAAGTCGGGTGTCAGGGCCAGTGTAAACTCGGGCTAGTACATAATGATTATAGGCAAGTACATAATGATTATTGGTAAGAACGCAATGTTCAAAGGCAAGAATTATAATGGTGTACATAAGTAAGTACGTATGTACATGTAACGTTAATAGACATGTACATAATGTATATAATATAAACAGTATCACATTTTGTGAACAAATACTGAAACAACTTCCCATATAGAATATTGTAATGTTGGAGGATTTCAGGTTAGATACATATATATTTACAATTGTACATGGGCTAAACTGTTTTTGGGGTCCCTGACCTCGGTTTTAAGGAATTTTTAGCCATTGACATAGTCTGATTGTATGGTCGTGTCACAGGGATTGGCAATTATCATCAATATACATACAAACATTTTCATATTTGTAGAGAACGAAAACATGATTAGGATTTATCATGCCTAGAACTTATATATGCATTACATTTTTATATTAAACATAGTTATATATTGGATGACTTGACTGACTTGACTGCTGTCTCAAAAGGGTACTGTAGTTAACAAGATCGCTGGATTTTTCAGCACCACATAGACCAATGTTATCATCTATAGCTTAGTTTGTTCATTTCTGGTAGAGGTAGATCTTTATTAAAAAAGAATATAATAAAACCATTAATTTAACTGCGGTCACTTTTTTATGTCGTCTACTAGACGTTGAATTCAGAATACAGATTACTAAGTACACTGCAGCTAAAGGGAAATTCCTCGAGTCTATCAAGTAACAGGTAACTAGATCTGGTTCACCATTGGTTAGAAATATCTGAAAAAGTTGGTTTGAAAGGGGAATTAAAAGTATAAAGGGACATAACTCACCTGCTCAATTTTTGGGCATATATAAATTTCAATGTAAATAATCATTAGTTTACACTTTAGTTCTAAACATTTTCATTTTTTTTCTTCTACTTTATGTATTTAACTTCCTTTAGCAATATGAAATCTTCATTTAAAACACTTTCTCAGATAACTGTATATAAATTTATCATTTTCTCATTCTTTTATGTTAAACTTTTATAAAAATTGCTTAAATGTATCAATAATGAACAAAATATGTATAATGAAAAATGTATCAATGAATGTACCAAAATAGCAGCAAAAATAGCATTATCTTATATATTCAACTCCAGTAAATGGCAGAGTACAGCTAGCTATAGATTTGTTATCCTGTAATATGTACATGGACTGAATATCTAATTGGGCTTGGGATTTGAATCCAGGCCATCTAAACACTAGACAGGTGCTGAGCTATCTGGTGATTGAAGATTATAATTTGAGTCAATAGAGATTCCAGTATACTTTACCCTGATTGTTCAAGGTTTAAAGGGCATAACAAAAAAATAGTTTTTGTTGATTTTTCCTTTTTCTTCTTCTCAATAGCGAGGGACATACATATTTGAAACACAGGTGCTGAATAGTGTTTTTCTATACAAACAGAGGTATGGGTGGCATGGAGCTGACGACACTTCCCTCCAGAAAAACTTTGACAATGCTGCCGGCTCCTATCCATGGGTGTCCACATTTCGTGACAGGAGTGTCACAGAGTTAGAGTTTCTACATGGCCATCTCAATAATCCAGGAGCTCTCCCAGCATTCCTCTGTTTTAGGGACAAGGTTCGGACTTGTAGACTAGTAGATTTGATTATATGCATGCACACTACATATTTTCCAATATTAGAATGTTTATTATGTTTGATGAAATAAATATCTAAACAAATCCTGAATTAACGGTTATTTCATGAAAGCAGACAATCATATTTTAAGAAACATAAACTAGTTCAGTCCTGAACTTTCATTATGAACTATTCCAACCTTTGAATTGGAAGAGTTCAAATTTGTCTTCAGAGGTGAATGAGTTGATATAAACACATGTTAATTTTTAGTCCTGACATGTAAATGTAAGCGGAGGTATGTATATTGCAGGTGAAAGCATTAGGACCATGCATGTTTACCTGATATTTTGTAAATACTTTGGAAAAGATGCTTTTCATTAAATATTTTTCAAATTTTAAGTTTATAGTTACATGTATGAGTGACTCTGCAAAACTGCATGTTTCTCTTCTATATTTGGTATTGAAATGTCTGTTTCATCAGTTCAAACAATATTTTTGGAACAGCTTACATCACCTAAATGTTTGAACCCAATGATGGCCTCACATTATATGAGACAGGAGGAGAAGCTTCAAAATGACATTGATCCAATTGTGTTCATGGTCTGATGAAATACATTTCCTTTCGTAGTGTTTGTATAGTAGGTTGGAACACAACTATGAATATATATGATTACATTTTGTACCTAGGATTATGATTCTAAAATCTGTGAGGAGGCAAAGACGAAAGATGACAAGAAGATGGTGTTTAAGTATTCACCCGAGAGTGATCATGCAGCAGAATTAATGGATGATCTCAAACGAAGGTGTATGGACACAGAAAGTTTGGTAATAAATTAGATAATCAGAAATTTACACATGTTTTCATTGTTCAATGTTTTGTATCAGTACCCAATATCATTTCCTCTAGTGTAAGCCAAACAATTAGTGCTGAAATTTTAAAAAAAAACATGTGCTAGGATCTAGCCAACAAGAGTGATTAATATAAGCTGAAATAACTTGTTCGATAATTGTTGTAAAATGTAAGTAAAGTTTATATATAAAAAAACCCATTATACTATCTTGAATTACTTTATTTCAATTTTAAATGTATAAACATTTGAGTTTTAATTGATATATGTGTATGCCTTTGTTTTTAAGTCCTTGGGTGTCAATTTGTGTTACAAGAATCCCAAAGAGGTAAGCATTCAGTAATATCTCATCTATTTTTCAGTTATGACCCAGCTTAACTCATTCACCCCTGAAACTTCATAATGAACTATTCTAACCTTTGAATTGGAAAAGTTCAAATGTGTCTTCATGAGTATTGAGTTAACAAGATGTGAACTTAACACTTTTCTGACTGCGATTTTGATATATATCTTGATTAAAATGGTAAGGAAAATTTGGACCCTTAGAAATTGTATTTTGTTTTCAAGGGTGCAGAGCTTATATTTAATGCAATACACAAGCACTTGACCAAGCACCTGATGATAAGCAGTGTCCATGTAGTACAGGAGGATCGTAGTACACTGGCAAGGTCCCTCCATGGTGCCTTTCTGGCCAACAAGGTCAAGCTGTATGAAGGTGGCGACCAATATATCACACAGCTCACAAAGAATATTGATGCAGGTAATTTCTGGTAATGATGACTCGGGTAGTCCCAGGTAATAATGACACAGATAATCCTGGTTAATGATGACTCGGGTAGTCCCAGGTAATAATGACACAGATAATCCTGGTTAATGATGACTCAGTTAGTCCCAGGTTATAATGGCACAGGTATTTCCTGATAATGATTATTCAGGTTATCTTACTCAGGTAATGACTCAGAAAATCATAGGTAATGACGACTGAGGTGATCATAGGTAATGACGGTGCATGTAATCCTGGGTAATCACGACAGAGGTAATCTTGGTTAATGATGACACAGGTAACCCTGGATAATGATGACACAGGTAATCCTGGGTAATCACGACAGAGGTAATCTTGGTTAATCATCACAGGCAATCTTGGTTAATGATGACACAGGTAACCCTGGATAATGATGACACAGGTAATGCTGGTTAATGACACAGATAATCCTGGTTAATGATGACACAGGTAATCCCAGTTAATGATGACACAGATAATCCTGATTAATGATGACACAGGTAATCCCAGTTAATAATGACACAGGTAATCCCAGTTAAAAATGACACAGGTAGTCACTTGGGGTGAGGACTTATCTTTGGGCAGACCACTGGAGTTAATGACTAAAGAAATCTATGTGAATGATGACTCGGGATATCTTTGAAATATTGATTCATATCATCAATGAGAATCAGGATACTTGAATTTTGATGGAGGAAAATGTGACTCAGGTTATCAAACCGTTACTGGAATTAGTGACTCTGTAAATCCTGTCGGAGGATTATATTCCTTATTGTATTGTCATATTTGTTTGCATTTGATATTTTATAATGTATGTGTAATTGTGATACACATGTATGTGTTTGTGTCAGAGCCCCCTGTATCCTACCTGATCACTGGACCTGCTGGCTGTGGTAAGTCTGCCCTGATCTGTAACTGGTTACACAGTCTGACACAGAACCCCACCTACAGACACTGCTGTGTGGTACACCACTTTGTGGGATGTTCCAGGGACAGCGCCAGTAAGTCATCAACATGTTTATAACTGTAACCTGTGTATAACCACCACCTGTATATAATGGTCACCTGTATATAACAACAATATCTATATAATTGTAACCTGTGTATTACCACCACTTGTATATAATTGTCACCTGTACATAACAACAATATCTATATAACTTTAACATGTGTATTACTACCACCTGTATATAATGGTCTCATCTGCATAACAACAATATCTATATAACTGTAACCTGTGTATTACCACCACCTGTATATAATGGTCTCATCTGCATAACAACATTATATACATAACTGTAACCTGTGTATTACCACCACCTGTATATAATGGTAACACCTGTATATAACAACAATATCTATATAACTGTAACCTGTGTATTACTGCACCTGTATATAATGATAATCTGTACATAACAACAATATCTATCTAACTGTATATAATCGTAACACCTGTATATAACAACAATATCTATATAACTGTAACCGGTGTATTACCATGGCCACCACCTGTATATAATGGTCACCTGTACATAACAACATTATCTTTATAAATATGCCCTGTATAATGACACATCTGTATATAGTGGTCACCTTTATCTGTATAAAACACCTTGTGTATATCAAAACCTTCTTTTGTCGGCTAGATAATTGAGTATTTCAGTTGTAATGAAGATGTGAAACCACACAAACAAACAACTTTCCTCATAGAGACTTTTGTCTGTAGGTATTCAAAGTATCCTGAAAAGAGTCACAGAGGAGTTGGAACTGAAATGTGAAGAGTTAAAACAAAATGATGTGAGCAGTGGCCATGTTGAATCACAGAAAAAAGAGAATATTGATATACGAGAGCTGATGAGGAAGTTGTGTGTGGTCCTGGAGAGGCTGATATCACTTGGTAAACAACCAGTGGTGGTCATTGATGGCCTGGGAAACGTGAAGAAAACCACTAAGGCTGAAAAGGTACTTAACTGTTGCTGCAGTTGTCTGATTTTCTACCTTTATGAATATGCAATATTGACATAATGTAACAAAGCTTTTCATTGGTCAATAACCACAGAATATTGGACAACAGATCAAATGTGCAGATGCCCCAACTCAAACATCTTGTTTCCTTTAAGGATAGTAAAGTAGATTTCGCTTAATATCGCTTATCATTAGTCAGAGGAAAAAAATGATATTAATTAATCAGAATGTGACATAAATAGAAAACATGTTTTTCTGACCTTTTCAGCTGTCCAAACCCGGAAGTGAACAAGGATTTAAATGTCCAAGTGATATGTTTTTACAAAGAAGACTGTTAAGTAAAAATATTTGTAACTGACACATTTTTTTCTTTATTAACAGTGAAAAAAATTGTCTTATATTTGTTTATTTCATTGAAATATATGCAGCTAAACACCTGCTGAATTCCCAACTAATCCTTATTTCAGCCTGTGTATTGGTTACCAACATTCCTAAAGCAAGCTGTGTTAGTAGTGTCCACCAGACTGTCGGATGAAGACAACATTGCTGAACTGAAGGAACGCAGTTTCCGTGTGATAGACTTACCTCCCCTTGCTCCTGAAATCCAGCGGCAGATCTGTGTGGTAGGTTCACTTATACTGAAGCTGACTTGTATTTGTAGTTACAGTAAAACCTTGATATAATGCCCCTTGTTTCATTTGCCACCTTGTTAACATATTTCAATGTCCCTTTTTCTCGTTTTCTTACAAATTCCTTTATACATTTCCCTCAATTTATTGTCAAACCCCTTTATAATGCCAACATTTCTCTGGACAGATGGTGGCAGTATAACAAGGTTTTACTGTATTCTATGTGAGGATTTAACTCACCATTGGTAAGGAATTCTTAGTTCTATGATACTACGTTCATCATTGCATGATAATGAATTCTTTGTAAATTGGGCATGGAAAAAGTTCATAGAGACAAATTCACTCCAGGTGACTTCGGATAAAACTGATATGGGAAGTGTTTCATGTCTCAAAATGTGCCAAAGGAGGGCCTTCCAAATGATGAAAAAAACATGGGGTTTATGGAAAATTGGCAGGCTCATGGGAGTTCCTGAAGACCTAAAAGTCCTAGATTTGCTGTTGATTCTTAAAGAAATATATTTGTTTGCCTCTATTTCATGGAACTGTGCTTTACATAATGAGTTGATTACTTTGCTACAGAAAACACTACGCATGGCTGGAAAGGAACTGTCTGCAACCCAGGTAGACAAAATTGTACAAGCTAGGCAGACGGAGAATGCTCTGTTCATGAAAATTGTTCTCAACGTACGTATAGTGTCGTCATAGCTAACTTACTAATTATCTATATCAGAAGGGCAAGAAATTCACAGCCTGTATATTTATTTATATAGGATTTAATGGAAAAAAGGGTGAAACATAAGTGCTATGCAATGTAAGTGCTGTACAGTAAATATAAGTGCTGTACAGTAAGCTATACAGTAAATATAAATGCAGTAAATATTATTGCTGTACAGTAAATTTAAATGCTGTACAGTAAATGTAATTTGCTATACAGTAAATATACATACCATACAGTAAATATAAATGCTGTACAGTAGATATGAATGCTGTACAGTAAATATAAATGCAGTAAATATTATTGCTGTACAGTAAATTTAAATGCTGTACATTAAATGTAATTTGCTATACAGTAAATATACATACCATACAGTAAATATAAATGCTGTACAGTAGATATGAATGCTGTACAGTAAATATAAATGCTATACAGTAAATATAAATGCTGCACAGTAAATATAAGTGCTATATAGTAAATACAAATACAATACAGTAAATATAAATAATATACAGTAATTTATAAGTGCTGTACAGTAAATATGAGTGTTATAAAGTACATAATGTAATTACTATGCAGTAAACGTAAATGCTATACAGTAAATAAGTGCTCTACATTATTTCAAAGTATCAAGGAAAGTAAGAGTTAGTGACTTTTAAAAATAATTCACTTGGAACAATTTTTTGCAGAGATATTAAATAGTGTTTGCATACAATAAAGATATTCTTCATAAATTGTCATTACCGGTAGTCATGTCATACACTTTGATGTTCTACAGGAGCTGGTATCGTTCGGTTACTTTCGACTTTTGGACCAGAAGATAGATTCCCTTGTCTCATGTCAAAGGTGGGTGTTCCTATACGTTGTAGTGTGTGATGTGGAATGTAAAAGGTTGGTTGTAGTGTGTACAAGAAATACTGTGTTGTGTGAATGTGGTTGTAGTATGGAAGGTGATGGTGTAGGCAAACAAAATATCGGTTGTGATATAAGATGAGAGTTACCTGTACAAAGTTGGTGTTGCAGGTATAAGGTGGGTGAGGCCTATTCAAGGTAGATATTGACCTTTAGTAAGCAGTTGTGTCATAAAGAAGCTGGTGTGTCAAGTATTAATTGGGGTGCATGAATTAGATTGATATTGCATATTCAACATGGGTGTGGCATATATAAGGTGGGTGTGGTATGTATAAGGTAGGTGTGGCATATTCAAAGTGGGTGTGGTACGTATAAGGTGGGTGTTGCATGTTCAAAGTGAGTGTGGTATGTATAAGGTGGGTGTGGCATATTCAAAGTGGGTGTGGCACGTATAAGGTGGGTGTGGCATATTCAAAGTGGGTGTGGCACGTATAAGGTGGGTGTGGCATATTCAAAGTGGGTGTGGCATGTGCAAGAAGGGTGTGGCATGTTCAAAGTGAGCTTGGCATGTATAAAGTGGATACATTGTTTTGAATAAGGAAGATGTTGGAGATTGGTTTGTTATGTATATGGTAGGTGTGGAATATCAAAAATTAGTTTGGTGTTAGAAAAGCTTTCAAAACCTAGGGTGTTGCATTTAAAAGATGTTATGATATATGATATGTGTTTGTTGCATGTGAATGATGTGTGTGGTATCTCTAATTAAAGTTTCATACAGATCAGGTAAGTGTGGAATTCTAAAAATGACTGTGGCAATTTACTTTCGGATGTGTCACTTAATGGAAGGCACACATGTACATTTCATTAAGCACCAGGAAAATAGAATTAAATTTCAGCATATGTATGTTATTTAAGAGTAAGAAAACAATGGATGACATCTCATAACTAGGGACTATTTTATAATTTTCATATAGTGCTTCCTATTAATGAAATTATAATTGATTCATTTTCACTAGTCCATTATATATAATGGTACAGTCGTTTCAGGTGTGCATCTGATCAAACAGCTGTGGTCCTTATAGACAGGTGGTCCTGATAGACAGGTGGTCCTTATATACAGGTGGTCCTTATAGACAGGTGCCCTATATGTCAATTGTCATTGTTTACAGTGTCCAAGATTTGTTTGGAAATATGCTACAGAGGCTGGAGGAAGATTACAATGTACCGGAACACGAAGGGAACCTGGTGGAACAGGTATCACAGTGATTTATAATTGATATTAGTTGGTACACAAACACAAAATCCAGGCGGGAGTCATAACCATCAACATGGTGCTGGTTATTTCTGTGGGGCTATAATTTTGAAATGAAAGGCAAAAAAGTATGGCTCACTTTAAAAAAAAACAACTCCAAAAACAATGAAAAGGGTAATACCATAAGGTAATCCGGAAGAAAGTAAAAGAAAGATAGGGAAAGATATATTGTCCCGCAAACAAATATAAATGTACATAATTGTTAAGGGGTAAACTCTTATGGTGAGTAACTAATGGCCATTACAAAGGTATCCACAAGCTTATGAAAGGATTCAATTGCTACCCCCCCATTTCATGTTCAGGCACCTACTTGAATAGATCAAATAAAAGTTTACAATAATAGAATATAGTAACAAAGATGATGTACCATAAGAGGGTCTGTCCCACAGGTGATGTGCTCCCTCTACCTCAGTAGACAGGGCCTGGCGGAAAGGGAGGTAACTGGGATTTACGGGATCACCCGGCCTGTCTGGTTATCCCTGTACTATGCCATTGAAAACTATATCATCGATCAGGCGGGACATTTGTAGTGAGTAAATTATCAGTCAAAACTATTTTTCTGATCACCAATACATTTTTTTATGCATTTTGATTCATCATCCAATATTGGTGAAATTGCACCTGATGAAATTTATAAAAAGGAGGAAGCGATTTTGTCCAGTTGGTAGTATACACTTAATTTGACATTCATCGCTAATCTATAAATAAATAAAATGTTTGTGTAAAATAAAATGATACCTCAAAAGCTAGCTGTTGTGTTTTAAAAAAAATCATTAAGTATTGAAACATTTTCTCCAGATTTATACATTTAACAATGTTGACTGAACTCACACAACAGTAATTTCAGATAAGTTCTCTTGACGATATACATGGAAAATGTTTTGAATATGTGTCTTATACTGGCATTGGCAAACCTGTAGAATTTGTCTGTGTCGCTTACATTGTATACAGTTAGTCAAATGTTTGTCCCTATATTCGACATCTTCTCTCAGAGTGTGTACTGTTTCTGTCGTAGTATTGGCCTCAATGATCTCCGGACCGCAATATACAACAGATATCTACAAAAACCAGAGACTAAGTAAGCAAGATTATACTCAATGACTAGAGTTGTTCGTGAGAACTGCTAAATCATTGAGTCGGGACATTTAAAGTATCTGGGTATGCATTTACTAGGTGTTGAATAATCCTATATCCTGGGAGCCATATCACATACCAGTGGGTACAATATCATTGATGTTTTATCGGCATGATTGCAAGATGATCAATAATTACTGTTCACTACTGTATGTATAGAAAGGAAAAAGACAGCTAGTTGGTGTAAAGAATTGGCCCCGGGGATGAAGCAAGTTTTCAAATCACAAATAATTAATTCGGGCTTCAGTTGCCCTCTGTTATCATTTTTTTCCTAGCGCTTCTCACTTTCTGTATATATTCCACCACCGTGCAAGCATAAATTTTGAATAATCCTTTAATAATTTGTTTTTGTAAATTTGTTTAAGGTCATACTACTTGAAGAAGATCATCGGGTACTTTGAACAAAACCGAAAAGTAAGCATATGTTGCTCCTATCATCTTTTCACAATATTTGCCCTTTGTCTGGTGAGCTGTCTATACTACAGAAACTTGTGTAAACTCAGTTAAGTAACAAGTTTGCATCATGCTGTTTGACAATGACATGTCCATAGTACTTAATTGTATAAGGACTCACACAGCTAAATCAGCCAATCAGTAAGTGTTTCATACGATTGTAATCCCTACCTAAAATTTGTTCCGGTTTAATACAGTGCCTCTGAGTAATTTAAATAGGTAATTGTTGTCATATTTCACATTAAAGAAAATCTACAGATATTGAACTTTAGAAAAATGTATAGCTTTAGTAGATTTTAAAATGTGAATGGTGGATTGATATGGGATCAAATGTAAGGGGGTGTTCCCGTCCCATTTCACTGGTTTGGCTTGTAAGCTCCTGGTTGTCAAAAGCAGACGCCTGTAGTGATCTTATATGCCTCTAAACTCACCAAAAAATGCCTTTTGAAGCGTTTGTCAGGTATGTATCTATGAATCTAGACAGTTGTCACTAGTGTTGAACCTCAAATATTAACGCTATTAGCTCAAAAGCTTAGTAATAACATCTTGTAAATGATTTAGTTGTGTGGGTCCTTTAACATCAACCTGGCTGTTGGGAATGGTAAGGTTTATAGGTGTGCTGAGATGTACATAGTTTCCATACACTTGTGCAGCTTCGATACATGTATGTGTAATATCTTACCTTTAAGTTATCTTTGTATCTATTTCAAACATATAATGACATACAGTACGTACAGTACAAGCAAATCACACCTTGATATGATTGATATGGGGTTTTATTTCCAGAGATTAAAGCAATCAGTGTAAGACCCCCTGTATTTTAGAGATGTGATTTTGCAGTGGTGCTTTTTTTCCCTACCTAAATTTCACAACTGCCTATGCCTGCAAGAATAAGGAAAATAATTTATATTCATATTTTTTTAAAAGTTGGATATATTTATGATTTCTTCATCAAATTGGGAAAATTAGGCACTTTTTGGTTCTGTTCCTATGCAATAAAGTTACCAGTCTGACAATTCATGTAATCAGCCAATAAGCAGATGATTGGTTCAGGGAAATAGTTACACTACATATGTAAGTATACTTACCTGAGTTCTAAAGCATGTCTTCTGCCTGCATTTCCCTATATAATGATATGTCAGGAAAATTATTAAAACCCATCTACATCATCAGATATTCTACCAACTTTTGATTCATACAATTTTGCAGAGTTTAGGGCACTTCTCTGGAAAGGCGAAGAAGAGCTACACTGCGTCACGGGTAGCGTATGAACTGCCCTACCTACTTAAGAGTTTGGGAGACCTGGAGGGGCTAGCTACGGCCCTACTGGACTTACAACTCGTCCTCACCCTATTGGATGCGTACGTGTTTGTAGCAAGATAATTGACATTTTATCTCCTGAGATTCATATTAGGGAATTTATATCAACAAATGTTCTGTTTCAATGTAGTTTTGTGTGATAAGTGGACAGAAAAAAGGTTAAAAAAAGAAAAAAATGGAAGTACAAAAGATGCATTAAAGTTAGCATTTTGAGAAAGAGTGATTTTGGTCTATTTTTTTGCATATGTCAAAGATGTGTTGCATTATTTTATGGCGTTGTACATCTGTGTGTCTGTTCAACGCTTTGTTTCCAATCAATAATGTTGCTAAATTATTACTTTCAAATTTCAGTAAAATATGGTCAGAAGATGTTTCTTTATATAGAAAACTGAGGTTATATGTTACTGTAAATATTGCAGTCTACCTGATTAGATTTAACATTAGTAATCCAATTTAACCCTTTCACCGCTGTAGACCATAATGGACTCATCCATATCAATGCATTGTAGAGTCTACTAAAGTTACATAGGCCTAGGGTGAGAGGGTTTAATGTTATTTTGTTGGGAACCGCATATTTAGCAAAGGTTATTCTACCCCAACTGCAAAATTAAGGGGTTGGGGTATACTGGAATCAGTGTGTCCTTTCTCTATGGATAAACTGATTCCAGTAATAATTATTCGCCTAAACTAACCAGCTAATTTCTATAAAACTTTATATGCATGAATGATACATCATATACTCACTCAGTTGAACACCTGAAGGTTATATTTTGGTTACAGCAATTTTTGAAGAGTTGTTGTGGCCAAATGTTGCACAATTTATGTACTTTTTTTTTTCAAGCCATGACCAGACAAATCAAAACAAATTATGTAACAAATTTCAATGAGATTTTCTGGGAGTGATACATAAGGGGATATACTTTCCCTCAAATGGCCAACTTTTGGTTTTTGGAATTCAAGATGGCCACCATGGCCTCTGATTGGCTGAGACAATAGAAATTTGTAACTTACCTGGGTAATGGTTCTATGAAGCTTACTTTGTGGGAGTGATATATAGGGGACATACTTTAAAAGAACAATAGGCTGATGTTAAATTCAGATATTCAAGTATAGCCTCTGATCTGATTGGCCAAGACATTTAAATAACTTCAGTTGTTGAGTGGGATGGGGTATTATTATGCCTTTGGCCTTTCAGTTCTACCTGGGTAAAACTCATACATATTCAATAAGCTTACTGAAATCTGATTGGTTGATGGTTTGGCAACATATGTGATCTGTAACAGTGTGATATTTCATTGTATTATACAGGGATGGTAACCTATACCTGGTGGACCTATGGAAGACGACTGGTCTACAGTGGACGGAGGTGGCCAGACGATACATTAACGCTCTAAATCAGACAGTGGTCAACATTTACCTGGAAATGGAAGAGGATGACACCCTAGAAAACGACTCTGCAGGAGTCAGGGTAAGAATTGATCGAATCTTCAGGACTAAATTTGGGTAAAACTCGCAAGAACATTAGGGATTATGAGAAGAGGACAGGAGGATCAGGGCTATTACCTCAGCATTGGCACTTGAACACTATAAAATACCTCTTTTTTCGGAATACTATCACTCAGCTCACAGACTAAGCCATTGTACTGCCCAGTGATGCCTTGTTAACAGTCAGCTCACAGAATAAGCCAAAGTACTGCTCAGTGATAAAACTCATCTCACAGAATAAGTCATCATACTGCTCAGTGATGTCTTGTTAACACTCAGCTTACAGAATAAACCATAGTACTGCTCAGTGATAACACTCAGATAACAGAATAAGCCATCATACTGCTTAGCAATGCCTTGTTAACACTCATCTCACAGAATATGCCATACTATTGATCAGTGATAACACTCAGATCACAAAATAGGCCATACTACTGCCCAGTGATGCCTTGTTAACACTCAGCTCACAGAATAGGCCATAGTACTGCCCAGTGATGCCTTGTTAACACTCAGCTCACAGAGTAAGCCAAAGTACTGCTCAGTGATGCCTTGTTAACACTCAGCTCACAGAATAAGCCATTGTACTGCTCAGAGATGCCTTGTTAACACTCAGCTCACAGAATAAGCCAAAGTACTGCTCAGCGATGCCTTGTTAACACTCAGCTCACAGAATAAGCCATAGTACTGCTCATTGATGCCTTGTTAACACTCAGCTCACAGAATAAGCCATTGTACTGCTCAGTGATTCCTTGTTAACACTCAGCTCACAGAATAAGCCATAGTACTGCTCAGTGATGCCTTGTTAACAATCAGCTCACAGAATAAGCCATAGTACTGCTCAGTGATGCCTTGTAAACACTCCGCTCACAGAATAAACCATAGTACTGCTCAGCGATGCCTTGTTAACACTCAGCTCACAGAATAAGCCATAGTACTGCTCAGCGATGCCTTGTTAACACTCATCTCACAGAATAAGCCAAAGTACTGCTCAGTGATGCCTTGTTAACACTTGTTTAATGTTATTTCAGATCCTAGACACAGTGTTGATACTGCAAGAAATATTTGAGCAAGTTGGAGATTTCCATGCAGCAGTGATGATTATGGAACATCACATCAAAATATGTGTAAGTGGAAGGAGAAAAAAATTGTCATTAAAGATCATCCACCAGCTAATTAAGGTCCTATTGTTATAAAGAATACAATATATCAAATGAAGCAGTCTTAGGCTGTCTTCTGATTGTATCATAAGACAAACAGTTTTAAGAGGCTTTTAATGGGAAAATCCACTTATTAACTTATCAAGTTAGCATGACTCAACAATCATCTGTACTTCACTAATACATTTACATGTTAGGCCATATAAGTTGGTATGTTTGTAGAGCATTTTTTTTTGTATAAAGGAAATAATTTACCAGTATTTCAACTTGTCATATAAATAAAATATCAAATGTTTTAAAATTAAAAAAAAAAAATCATTTACATCACTGTTAATCAAGTGTTGAACATTTTCAGGAAGAAAATTTATCAACTGGAAAACTAAAAGACATCAAGGTTATGATGTATGTGAAATATTCTTTAGCCTGTTTGTATGTGGATCATAGCCAGTTTACTGCTGGCGAGAAACTTCACATGGATGTCTACAAGTTTCGCAAAAGGTCGGTGTCGAGAAGTATATATGTCTATGAGGTCACAAACTATTGCTTGAATAGTTTGTGACCTCAATGTTCATCCTCCCATGGCGACCTTGGAAATTTTAAAACCTTTCGTGTGACCTTGAAAGGTGTGACCTTGAAAGGTGTAACCTAATGAGTTGTTAAATGATATTAGTGAGGGATTTAAAGTTCTCCCTTTGTCTGTGTCGCGTCTGTTTGTGCATCCAGGACCTTAGTAAAAAAAACCTTCTGTACAAGATATCCCACGAATCCCTAAACCCATTTACTTCATACTTGCACCATAGAATGTTAATATTAAGTTCTACACTTGATTAAGAACTTAGAGGTAATAAATTAGATTTAAAGAGTCCACTGTCACGTAAAAGATCACACTTGATCACTTTTGAAGTAAAAGGGTTTTGTACTAGATATCTCATGTACCTCTCAACAAATTTAGTTTATATTCACACCATAATATATTGTAACCCTAGCATTGAGTTCTACACCTCATTATATAGTGGTAAACGGTCAAGGTTAAAGGGTCAAAGGTCATGTCAATCTAATGAAAATCATCTGTTACATGGCTCCGCTCAGGCGTAGTACGAAGTTAACGAAACCATGTAACATATGATTTTAATCAGATTGAGGTCATGTGCAACGCAGGGTGGGGAAAGGGGGATATAACTATGTGAGCCTTTGCTAACCTTGTTTTTATAAATCAGTACCAGATTTACTTTAATGAGACGTACTGCTCCAGAAAACAGCTACTGTATTTTAATTTGTAGGATTGTTGAGGAAGCTGGTGACAGTGTTGGGGAGGAGGACAGGAGGGCCCTTGGAAAATCGTACCACGGATTACATGTATTGTACCTACATTTACAAGATGATGAAAAAGTAGGTCACTTTTACTATCACTTATTTTACCCTGTCAGTTTTTCATCTTAATAAGCCATTAACAAAATGTATACATCTGTTAGTTGTCATGTGGTGTAATCTCTGTTTTTATATAATTACCAGAAATACAACAAAATGAAGCATGAATTTGAAAATTGGCTTTAAGATACAGGAACCGAAACCAAAAAAAATGTAAATATTGGACCATGTGGCCATTTTGTCTATTTAGGTCTCATCAGTGGTACTTAACTCATCCACCCCGGAAGACACATTTGAACTCCTCCAATTGAAAGGTTGGAATAGTTCATTATGAAATTTCAGGGGTATATGAATTCATGTCAAGAGAATGAAAAATCCATGTCTTTTAGCATCCCAAACATTTGTAAAGTACATCAAAAAGGTAAAAGTGCCTGTAAATCTCTTCATAACGTTACAAATTAACAACTTTTGGCTACAACTGATACAATGTAATTTATGCTTATTAAAACTAGTTTTTCACGTAACTAGCTACAAGACTACAGCCAAGCACTTGGACCATTAGTTCACCAGCACAGTCAACCATATATAAAATAATTACTAAAAAAAAAGAAAGAAATAAAGCACCTATTTGAAAAAATTGTGGAAACAGGGAGCCGAAATCTCTGTAATTTCTCTGCAGAATACCAAGACGTTGTAACGTAATTTTCTGACGTTTTTGTCACTATTACAGGCTCTGGAATACGTGGAGAAGTCAATGGAACTAGAGGCAGAGGCAGACAATGTTGACAAAAGTGATCTAGCTGCCTCCTACACCAATATGGCCACCATCAAAATGAATTTAAAACTTCTAGACGAAGCATTGGAATACGCCCTGAAAGCATTGAAGGTTAAATTCATGTAAAAGGCACAGGAAAAAACCCTGATGTTCCAATCAATGAATTGTTTAAAAAGTTGAATTTATCAAGCACTTGAATAATCCAATAAATGAAGTTAAAACTCTGGCTAATTGTACGTTTTCTTTGTGCTTTTGAAGGAACATGGTGGAAAAGTAACTTTACTTTAATAGTGAGAACAAAAATTGAAGAAATTTTGACTGATACATATTTGTTATAATCGGCTTGACTAAACTTTTAAACTGCTCTTCGAAATAAGAATTCTCCTGTCTACCAAAGGCAGTAGAAGTATCTTGAGAAACAGTACAGGATCAAATCATTGTTTGTTTTAATACGTACAGTTGGAGGAAGATATCAGTTTTGGTCACCTGCCACCAAAGATAGGAAACCTCTTTACCAACATTGGCCTTATCTACAGAAGAAAGGGTGAACTGGATACTGCAGAAAAGTATTACTTCAGGTAAATACATCTTATTTACACACCTGTACTGATACATCTGAAATGATCAACACATCTGTACCGAGACTACATCATGTATACACCTGTACTAACACAACTGTAATGACACACCTGTACTGACATTGCATCATGTATACACCTGTAATGATGCACCTGAAATGACACACCTATAATGGCACACATGTAAATTGTAATGACACACCTGTATTGACACTACATCATGTATGCACTGTATTGACATACTTGTAGTGACACACCTGTAATGAAACACTTGTAATGACATACCTGTACTGACACATGTACATGTGTAATGACACACCTGTACTGACACCTGTACACATGTAATGACACACCTGTACTGACACATGGTCATGTGTAATGACACACCTGTACTGACACCTGTACACTTGTAATGACATACCTGTAATGACACACCTGTAATGACATACCTGTACTGACATACCTGTACTGACACACCTGTACACTTGTAATGACATACCTGTAATGACACACCTGTAATGACACACCTGTAATCTCACACCTGTACTTACACTACATCAGATACATGTCTGTCTTGATACTTTACAGATCCTTACAGATCAAGAGACAAGCGTTTGGTCATCACCACATCGATATTCCAATATCGTTGATGAATCTAGGCACTCTTGAGGGAATACGTGGGAACCGTGAGAAATCGCTGAAATATTTTCAAGAAGGTCTTGATGTTTATAAGGTAAGTCGCTTATTTCTTATTTGTAAAAAATATTGTTATGATACTACGTTATACTCTGCCCTGTATTAAGAAAATAATTTAACAAATCTAACATTTTGAATAGTGTGTATTGCATGTCTTGTCGTCACTTTGTTCCAAAGTGTCAAAAAATCAAACTATAAGTTGAACATAAGGTAAGTCTATGAATAGCTTTTAGAAATTATAGACTTGGTAATTTCTACTAGAAAGCTTGAGCTCTAAATAGAAGTTACTTTTTTTCCCCCAAGGATGTATTACGTTGAAAACAGGATTTGAAACAAATGAGGTAATTGACGTCATGGTAACAATGATAAACTTTCACATTTTGTTAAAAATTATCGTTTGAAATAACTATAATTTGTTTTCAAATGGCATTCATTTGAACTCTGTTAGATATTGTGTTTTTACCAGTAGTGTTACCTTGTGTGATACAGTTATGACGTGATATGATGTACAGTCAATCTTCCAAAAATCAAACTTTGAAGATTCAAACTTCTCCATGTGTTGAACTTTCGGCATAGCCCGGAATTTTTTTCCTTATATACCTTGTTACACTACTATTTTGAAGTATAACCAAATTATTGGCAAGGCCCATATTGGTTATGAAAACATTGAAAATTACAACTAATAAACAAAATTGAAATATTCACATTTACTAGAACATTAAAATGTCCCGTGGTGATTTTAACAGTACATTATTCGGAAATTAACTTGACAAAGAAATGTTGAATTAGGTAAGAAATGCAAATATTTATATTTAAAATTAAATGTATTAGTCTGTGTTTCGTCACATATTTAAAGAATCACATTCTGTCTTATTTACAGGATTTCAATGTTTAATATCTGCGAGTCGAAGTCCTGATGTTTCAAAATTTTTCCAGATAGTCATGCAAAGTTCAAAACATAAAAGTTTGACTGTACATTGTTATTGTAACACAATTAAAATTCACTTCTTCAGGATCATAATTGATCACATTACTTGATTCTACCACTATATGTTTTGTCTTTTCAAACAGGCACTGAATGCAATGCCAAACAATGTGCAATATCTGATGATACAGGAAAATTTCCTTCTCACAAAGTGGCAGTTGGGAAAACAAGAAGAGACTCTGGAGGATTTCTTTCCTTTCTGTATGTTGCCTCAGTTTCAATGCCTGGTCTGTAACTTGGTCCATTCTTTCATTGTGATTAGCTGATTATAACTTGGTCCATTCCTCCTATCTGATTGGCTGATAATAGCTTGGTCAATTCCTTCAGTATGATTGGCTGATTATAAATTGGTCAATTTCTACAATGTGATTGGCTGATTATTAGTTGGACCATTTCTCCAATGTGATTGGCTGATTATAAATTGGTCCATTTCTACAATGTGATTGGCTGATTATTAAGTGGACCATTTCTCCAATATGATTGGCTGATTATAAATTGGTCCATTTCTACAATGTGATTGGTTGATTATTAATTGATCACTCACAGCACTATAACTGCTATATTTGTGTCATGCTTGATACTCCTTGGGCTACCCCCACTTTCACTCTCTACACCCCTGGAATTTGTCTTAGCAAAATCGAAGGCTCAGTGTGCACCACCTTGTGGATGAGATGAAAAGGCTAGTTTGATCTTTTATTGTACATTAAATGAATCTGTCAGTCGCGTAACAGTAAAATTGACTGACTTTGAAGTAGGTGTCTCTCCTCTGTAATCTTCAAAGGACAGGTATCAGCCTAGCGATTGGTCAGGTATTTTCACCTGAGACCAATCAAATAGCTAGCGGCATGCCTTCAATTTAGCCATGACATAGTCCAGGGGTGCAGAGAGTGAAAGTGAGCGTAACCCCTGGAGTATGGAGGATGTATTTGTGTGTGAGTTATATTGCCATGTGTTGGCTCACACGACTAGAAAGAGATATGGACAAAGACAAAGTTGAGGTAAATATAAATGTTTCTCTTACCCTGGACAGGTGTATTCGCTTTTTTACCGGTGTGAGATTTCCTTGTCTCACCCTAGGGTTGAGATGGGGGGATTCCCCTATTCCTAACAATGGCATGACGCCACTTTAACAATACAATGATGTCACGTCAACAATCCATCAACGTCACGTTAACCCTGAATTTAGCATGGAACGTTATCATTACATTGTGCATATGATACACAATGAAAGAACAGTGGAAGAGCAAAAGAATCATTCACCCCCTTGTGGGTGAGATAGTGGAATCTCAACCCTCGGGGAAAGATTCTTTAGTTGCCAAACACTCGGCAAAGCCTCGTGTTTGGCAACTTAAGAATCCTCCCCCTCGGGTTGAGATTCTCCTATCTCACCCCCAAGGGGGTGAAAGATTCTATTATTCTGTCCATATCACCATATATTCACTGAAAGTACATAATTGTTATATTAGATATGAAATTTTGCTGTCTTTTTACCATTAAAGAAGACTGAATGTAAGGAAATCCTTATGAGAAAAGTACCGCATGAGAATTTTGACATTATAATTGAATTGACGACATATAGAGAATATTGACCTGATGTTTCTAAAAATAATATCTTCAAGTTAATATCGCAAATCACAGACCTCCATGTGATTATGATCTAACCAATGAGGACGAAGGAAAAATGGTGTCCTCTAATATTACAGTTAACGTCGTGGAGAAGGAGGGGCGAGTCAACTTCTGTCTGGGATGGTTCCTTACTGATGTCGTTAAATACCTCATTTCCAAGGAGCGTAACTCGGAGGCCCTTCGAATCACTCTTGCCCTCATCAACAGCAAGCTACTCAGCGCAGTCAATATTGTCCATTTAGACCACCTTGACTCCCAGATGTTTCCTCCAGACAAACGTCCAGTGCGTCCAGCCAGTATGTCACTAGACTACGCCCTCGAAAAGTAAGTTAATCTTAAAATCCAGCCTCAGTGATGTATTGTGTACATTTGTACATTAGGACTGCAACGGTGGTTCACTATGCAGAAGTACTAAAACTCATACAAAAATATATGATTTTTTCATATTATTTCCGACAAGTGATTGGCCAGTAGTGCATCACGTGTCCACCGATAAAAACCGATATTGACTTGGAGCGTGTGATTTTTTTTTGAAGGATTGGGTGTTTCTAAAAATAGAATTATGACGTGTCTCCAAACAATGCACCGTCTCACTTCCGAAGCTTTTTCGTTGTGTTTTTTTTTCCAAATTGCTTACCTAACTGTTTTGTAAAATAATAAAACAATTGTAGCCTTTAACTTCGGTCAATACCTGGATTTATCAACCCGAGAAAAGATATATTAACCTCGGCCTGCGTCCTTGGTTAATATATCTTTTCTCGGGTCTATAAATCCAGGCATCGACTTCAGCCAAAGGCTATAATTGAATAATAATTAAGTATATGACATATCTAGAACTCTGTAAAATCCTGCACTAAATCATTATGAAGTTGACCTTTTGAGTAGATACGTGTATATATATATACCAGGTATATATTGTGATACATATCATATCGTAAGCATCATACCATGATATGTATCGTACCGTGAGGTATGCGTATCGTTGCAGCCCTATTGTATGTATCACAAGAGAACACAGTATATATATATGTTATTGTTGATCATTTGTGTAACTGATTCTTTAATTTTGCAGTTTAAATTATCCAATCATTGGTCAATTTAATTCAACAAATGTAATTTTTATAATCTCAATGCTCAGATTGATTTTATTTAGGAGATTATGTAATTGAATGTAAAGAATTGTGTGAAATAGAAATATTGCTTTTAAAAGCAAAATGTGTGTATTTATGTCATTCATTGGTTCATTCCCAGATGGCCTGAAAGTCCTGATCTTATTCGACAAAAAGCTGTGAATTATTTGATCCCAAATGGTGATGCGCATGAGTTTGTGAGACTTCTGAACAACATACATGACTGCACGAATCATGGTGCAGCGGTGTACGATTTCGGAATTGGGATGCTGGACACTGATAACATTGATGCTGTGATGCTTTTGGCTATATCTGAGGCAGCTCTAGAGAAGTACCCCAACAGTGTTGTAAGTTATATGGCAAAGTTGATATTAGTATAAATCTTTGTACTTATAGGTTACTGAGGTTGTTGGGGGTTTAAAACAACTTTGTAATAGGCACTTGAATCCATCACCGGAATGTTATATTTCTTAACGACCCTTTCTACTCTTTCAAATGAAATAAATACACTGGGAATTGTTGAAAATGATATAATTATATTTCTGACAAATCTTCAGTAAAAATTATTGATTGTGACGTCCCTTATATTGTTGAATTGATGTCACGTTATTGTGTTAATGTTGGATACAACTGACTCTTCCTGAATGGTGATTAAATACTCCATTTATTGAAAAGGCAGATTTGATACATACCCATTTATAAGAAACAGTGTAATGTTAAATTGCTTTTAGTGGACATATATACTGTAATAATTTAGTCTTGCCTGTAACAAGCATTTTCATTGGCTTAAAAATTTATTTTATCAGCCCATAACGTAAAGAAATGACGTCGCCGTTTGTAACGTCGCTTTTGATTGGCTTATACTGCAGCGCAATAATTTCTAAGAGAAAATAGTCCATCAAAAAAAGTGGATTTCCACAGGGATTCTGTATAGTAGATTAAATTATAAGGATTAACTTGAATATATTTTTCATGTTATGGAGCTGTAACACAAAAAAACGGAGTGTACTCTCATCATAAACCGCTTCATGGCTTATTTAGAGTACACTCCAGTTTTTTGTGTTATATCTCCATAACATGAAAAATATATTCAAGTTAATCCTTAAATAATGGAAAAGTATATGGTGTGGAAATGCTCATGTTTTTCGCATTGAGTAAATAAAAATATTCCGCACACAAGTATAAAATTATGTATATATGTATATTTTACAGATTATAGATATATAGGTTTTCAAACCGTTGCCAACGCGAAAATTTCCACACCACGATTTGTGTCTGGTAATTGATAAGAGAAAATAATATATGGTAGGTAATTTTATTTTAAGGTTAAATACACATCATATATTTGGCGCAGCTGAACTAGGTCCATATCCAGTGACCTCAGTTATTTAGTTAGCACAGCTAGCTTAGTAATTTAGAGCATCCCTCTTAATTCAGAGGTCCCAGGACAATAAGAGCGTCCCTCTTAATTCAGAGATCCCAGGACAATAAGGCATCCCTCTTAAATCAGAGGTCCCAGGACAATACGATAGAAGTCTGGCTGTTGCATTTTTACTTTCCTGTTACATTTGGCAGCCAACTATATATAACCTTAAATATGCAGTATCATCTTTGAAATCCAAGGGTCCTGGTTTCAATATAGATATCTTCTCTTTACCCTTAGAATACTCAGTATGTCATAGCAATGTCAAAGGCTCTCATGCACCCATGAAGACACATTTGAACTCTTCCAATTCAGAGGTTGGAATAGTTCAATCTGAAACTTCAGGGGTGAATGAGTTAAGCAACACCTTGCTAAGGATACAATTATAGACTAGACGAATGATTTTGATGATGATCAAAGGAATTGTGCAGCAGCGTAGTGGTAAAACTGACCGGCTTTGAAGTTGGGTGTCGCTCCTCTGTATAACCTCCAAAGAACTGGTATCAACCTAGGGATTGGTTAGGATCCTATACCTGAAACCAATCAAATAGCTTGCTTTGAGCCTTTGAGTTTGTCATGACATATTCCAGTGGTGCCAAGAAGACGTGTTTCGAGAGCCGAACCCTTGGATTTCGGGGGTTATACAGTGTATGAAGGTTAAGGTCATCTCAGGGATCCATCATGTACACTGTCATAGCTTATAATGTAAGCAGGCTTATTTCATTATGTTGCAGGGTTTCCTTAGAAACATGGTTTCCTGCAGGAGAAAAGAAGGTCGGCATGACCTTGCCCTTGAAGGGGTGAAGAAGTTGTTTGAACTTGTACCAGATGATGCTGAAACTGCCATTTTGACTATTACACAAGCAGTCTTTGCATGTGACATTGATCTAGGTCGAGAATATGCTTACAAGACTAAGGAGCGTTTTCCTGATAATCAGGAGATGTTAGAGAAGGTAAGGTAGTCCTCTTTTGCCTCAGTAGAAAATAGTTCTGTAAAGACGAGATGTTGGTTAAGTTAGATGTTGGTAAAGACAGGTTTTACTGTAGATGATAGTAAAGTCAGGGTTCATTAGAGACAGGTTTAACTGTAGTATCGATATTAATATCAGGGTTCAGTATAGACAAGTTCCACAGTATATTTTAGATGTGTAGAGGCAGGTTTTAGTGTAGATGTTGTTTTAGTCAGAATTCAGTATAGACAGGTTCCACATTACATGTTAGTTAAGATGTGTAGAGGCAGGTTTTACTGTAGATGTTGTATAAGTAAGAATTCAGTATCGACAGGTTCCTCAGTACATGTTAGTTAAGATGTGTCGAGGCAGGTTTTACTGTAGATGTTGTGTAAGTCAGAATTCAGTATAGACAGGTTCCACAGTAGATGTTAGTTAAGATGTGTCGAGGCAGGTTTTTCTGTAGATGTTGTATAAGTCAGAATTCAGTATAGCCAGGTTCCACAGTACATGTTAGTTAAGATGTGTAGAGGCAGGTTTTACTGTAGATGTTGTATAAGTCAGGATTCAGTATAGACAGGTTCCACAGTACATGTTAGTTAAGATGTGTAGAGGCAGGTTTTACTGTAGATGTTGTATAAGACAGAATTCAGTATAGACAGGTTCCACAGTAGATGTTAGTTAAGATGTGTCGAGGCAGGTTTTACTGTAGATGTTGTATAAGTCAGCGTTCAGTATAGACAGGTTCCACAGTACATGTTAGTTAAGATGTGTCGAGGCAGGTTTTACTGTAGATATTTTATTGTTTTTGTAAAATAAGTCTGTATTGATAATAACTATGTTTTGTTTAATCTTTCCTTAGGTGGATGACCTGTTGAGTATGATGGATGAAGCAGAGAATGAGTGGAAGGATCAGGGTAAAACCACCGAAACAGTCAATGATGGAGAGTGAAACAGAATAAAACAGAGATTGAAACATGTTTCATCTATGCAGCTATTTCATATCTTGTCAAAAACGATTGTTTGGTAGATTTCGTCAAAAATGGTTGCTAAATTTGATCAAATGTGGTCATTTAGTCTTTGGGATCAATAATGGGCCGCGTTAGACAGATGGTCGCTTAAGGTCTTAGAGTGTATTGATAAACGGAAATAGGAAGTACCCTGGTACATCACTAGTTGAAAATCCAATGTAGGGAGACAGTAATTCACAATTTCCGCATATTCTAATGTTTAATATTAAACTGATGAATATTGTATGTTTAAAATTGCAGAACAGTGTTCTTTAGAAAACCGGCTACCTATTTCACTACTGTGAAGTTTTTCAAGAAAGATAACTCTTACATGCAGTTGCTATTTGTATATGGTTTTATTATAAAATGCCAATTTTTAATCGTTTATATATAATTAATTTTACACAATTTCAGCATTTATAAAATTGATATACATTAATGCAATACTAATGTATGTCAGTATCAGATTGTGTCTTTCATTTTTTTTTCAAAATTCACTCCTTTTAATATAAGTTTCCATTTAAAATCCTTAAAATTCTGACAACCTATATTTCTTTCATGGCAGAATTTTTTCTTTACCTCAAAGCAATTTAACTGTAAAATTTGAAGAAATTCTACTGAGAATTGTTGACACAATCCTATTTCCTTTATACAGTCAAAGTACATAGTAAAAACGGTTGGGAGGAATGAAAAGTGGTTATTTATTAGAGATTGCCACTTGAGTAGACTCTACTCTACCTGGTACTACTTAATGGTGTCTAGTGACATTGTTATATCCCCTGTATTTAAAACAATGTCAATTGAGTTCCTTACTTTTGATATGACATCATATTCCGTCTTTTCGTATTGCAGAGTTATCTGCTCTTGTGAGCAGGTATTGAGTGTTACGTCATTAGTTTCTGTGAGAAAATTACGTCGTTTTCTCAAAAATGATGACGTTACTCTCACAAACAAATGACGTAACAATCAATACCTGCTATCAAGAGCAGATAACTTATAAAATTTAGTCATAATAACATATCAGACAGAAGTGCTGTGAAATCTTCTGTATTTGTATATGATCATGATCGACGTCTCATTGGAATTAGGTAGAACTTAAGAATTAGAATAACAATATGAACTTCAATGAGCTTAGTACGTCAACTCCAACTGGGGCCATTTAGACTTGTTGTGAAGTTTGATTTAAGGTTGTTGTCTGGATAACATTTTTATCAAGTCTTGTGTATAGTTGAAACAGTTTATTTTGGTATATGTAAAATACCAAAGTTATGCAGATATTCTCATATATTTGTATTTGTATAGGAGAATGACAGGCAGTTGCATACTTAAAGAACAATGGGTAATTAACTTGTTGGAGATTAACTGGAGATTACCCAGTTAGAGAATGACTATAGTTATTGCTTGGTTAAAGAGTTTCATTTATTTGCTTATATAATCATGTAATTTATTTTTTAGACAAACTTTTTCTGTGATACCCTTTGACTTACAGGTGGCTATTTTTACATGATATCCAGGTGCCATATTCTGTAAATTATTGTTGATAAGACTATGACATGGATTGGGACTCCTTGACTTTAACCATGAGTGATACTCTCATGGTTCTGTGAGTTCCCTATAATGTTCCTTGTCGCAAACAATGCACTTTTCTGTCAACAATTTCAGTAAGCCATTACATGTCATTGGGATAGATTTTATTTTTACTCTGCATGCACATTTTTTTTTGTATTTTTAACAATAATTGTTTGCTACTTTTTTGTATTTTTTTTGTATAAAGATTTTTGACTACATCTATTCCTGTTTATGGTAATTGATACAATATTAGACGGCAATATATATGTGTTTTTTTTCTCCACATAATCCCTAGTTCGTGTACTAGTTTTCTAGAAAAGCAAATTCAGGAATTCCCTCGCATTACATCAGATAGGTATACCAGTCCCTGATTGTATACAAATAGAATATCAAAGTGACATTTGCTGTCAAAATGAGTTTCTACTGGAGGTACTGTACATCTCTGTATAGGTGATCGTCCCTATAGGGATTGCACTGGGGTGATGTCTTAATTAAGGAATGGCTGAAGCCTTGGCCAATTGGTTTAGCAAATTAAAAAGGGGTACAGGGGTAAAGCATCAAAATCTGTAGAATTTAAAGCATGACTGGGCCGGAAAAGGTCAGTCAGCTGCCAAAAGATATCTCAAAAATAGCCGTTGGGGTGGGGGGATGGAAACCGGAAATATGTCTAAATGTTCAAACAAATGATATCTAGGCCAGGGGTCAGAAGCTTACATTTTATGTATTTAATTTATTTTTAGAAGTTTTTCACAATGTAGATGTGTGTGTAATTCATATAAATGCACAGATACACATATACTACATCAATGTTTTGATGTTTTTTCTATGCCTTTTTTATGTAATGGGGTAAACACGTATACTATGTCAAGGTTTTTATGTTTTTTCTATGCCTTTTTTATGTAATGGGGTAAACACGCAAACTATGTCAATGTTTTGCTGTTTTTTCTATGCCTTTTTTATGTAATGGGGTAAACACGTATACTATGTCAATGTTTTTATGTTTTTTCTATGCCTTTTTTATGTAATTGGGTGAACACATATACTATGTCAATGTTTTGATATTTTTTCTATGCCTTTTTTATGTAATGGGGTAAACACATAAACTATGTCAATGTTTT